AGCCAGAGCTATAAATAGCCTTTATGGACGGCCGATCAGCGTGTTTGCTCATATGAACGGACATTTTTTAGACTGTTGTTGCTAATTAGACTGTCACATTCCTAACAGACATTACTGTTAATATGTTTGAGTTTAATATGGACATTTATGATGAATGTTATTGTTGCAGTCTATTGTTTCAGTCAATGTTAATGTCAATTCATAGTCAATAGTAGTTTGTAATTATTTCTTTATTTGTTTTTCCTTTGTAGAACATTACATCTTATTCATTTCTCACTACCATTACCCATAATTGAGCAATCTGATGATTATGTTGAAGAAAATAAATATTTCAAACGTCAACACTTCTCCTGCCCTCCTGATTCTCTGACCGGAATCTGGTCCATATTTGGCCGCCTCAACCAGTGGAAAATTTACATGTAGTAAGGTTTACTACAGTAGGCTATTAAACTGAAAAGTCTTCTGAAATGTTTTATGACTTAGAATTTATAAATAGCCTTGCATTAACTAACACAGACTATATTTGAAGTATTTGGAAGTAATTCTGGTTTTCCACCTGTAGAAAAACATCATAAGAACAATGCTTAGTGGCTCAATGTACTACAACAGTGTTTTTAAAAGTCTAAACAATTTATTAATACTGTGTAGAACCAAGCACATGTACGAGTTGCAGGTAATGAAGTATTAAGCGTTTCTCCCATAAAAAAAAAGCCTGTTTAAGCAAAATGCTTGCAGGCATCTGCAGCTCTGCCTCTTTTCCTTTGTTTGGTATCTCCCGGTCGGTGCGATAATGCATGAACAAAATGTCGACTGTTGGCCAAGCCTACTTGTAATTTTGTTTCCGCTCCTCAGAAACCTACAGTTGATGTCACAGATACTATTTCCATATCTTTTACAGTCTAAGATTTCCACAGATAAATATGACAAACACATAAATACGGTGGCACTAAACGTTAACTAAATTATATAGCTAACTAAAACAAATTAGCTAACTTATAGTTAACTAAAAATACCATAGCAGTGTGAGCAAAAAAAAAACATTATTATCCTTAATATAATAATAATAATAATAATAATAATAATTATTATTATTATTATTATTATTATATTATTATTATTAATTGCTGTTGTGCATTCTATTTCAGATTTTAAACATTCAGTGAATTAAATATTGTTACAAAAATATGCACTCTTGATTATGTACGGAACATTATGTTCTGAACACTGATTCTTTTTAAAATAATTAAAACGGTGGAGGTTGAAAATTTGTGGAATACATTAATAAATCTGAATAACATCTGAAATACATCTAAATAAATTACCTTTTAAAATATATTAAAATTATTATTTTTGAGGATTTAAAACATCTAATAAATGCTGCCTTGGTGAGCAATAGAGGACAAAAAAAAAAAAAAAAAAAACTTTACCAACCTCATACTTTCATAAAAGTGGGAATGTTTCATGTTTAATGTTACACACTAAATCTACCAAAAAAAAAAAAAAAAAAAAAAAAGTTTTGAGAGGCCAAGTCTTGGAAGCCATATTCTGAAGACTCCAGGGAGTGAGCAGTATCTCCAAGAGAGCTGTAATGGAAATGCACAGGAGTTTCCAGAAGAATGTTAGTAGGACTGTGTGCCTGAGTGGCTCTTTAATCAGCTGCAGCGTTAATTACCTCACAGATGCCATGGGGATAAGACATTGGGCCCAGCAGTAATGAACAAGGGATCGATATCCACAGAGGAGTGACGCTTTACTCAACCCTGAAGATGTCTAGCCAGCAGTTCTTACAGCAAACACGTACTGTACCACTCTGCGACCAGCGCTCTTGTGTTTGATTATGAAAGTGTTTTGGAGTGCTTTATTGGAGCACTTCGTTTTTACTGCTATCTTTTTTCAAGCTTGAATAGTCAAATACTCCTCATCTTTGGTCTATATGAGACATTAAAAGTATGAATTTGGCAGTCCAGAGTCCCACCATTTTAACATATTTTCATTCATTCATTTTCCTTCGGCTTAGTCCCTTTATGCATTAAGGGTTGCCACAGCAGGATGAACCGCCAACTCATCAGCATTTTTTAACACAGCGGATACCCTTCCAGTTGCAACCCAGAACTGATACTTTAGAAACCCAAAATGAAGATATTCTTCATGAAGTTTTTGGTCACAATACTCACAACATTTATAATAAAATAATAAATAAATTAATACATTAATAAATAATAAAATAAAAATATATAAATAAATAAAATAATAATACAAAAATAATAAAATAAATAAATAAAATAAAATATAAATAAATAATAAAAAACCTGTATAAATTGAACTGTTCAATACAAGTCTTTGAAATGTATGAAGAACAGTATGTTTTGTATGAAGCGCAAATTCATTTTAGGTTTTTATTCACATATAAACACTGATTAGCAGACAATATTCATGTAAATAAAATTTGGGTACAGAAATTCAATCACAGTTGCTCCACATGAAACAAATGAGGTTTATTCTTATGATTTGAGGTCATCAAATAGGTTTGCTCTTGTGGGTCATGCAGGTATAATTGGCTGCGTCCAATATTGCATGTGGTCGCCTATTATATAGTATGTAAAAAACAGTATATGAGCTGAGTAGTAGTACTGTATGTCCTAATTCATAGCATTCAAAAAACAGGCGAAAGGTATCCAGGTGACCTACTACTACTAACAAGATTCTGAAGTGCACATCTTATATATCCTATACCATCCCATGATGCTATTCATACTATTCAAAGTCATATACAGAACACAGAGCACACTTTTCTAATGTAGTAAATTCAGATCAAAATAAAGTACCTACTCTGGTATAAGATGATTTTTAGGTGAGTTTGTTTGTTGATTAATGTTTTTTTATGAAAACAAAGGCCTAAATTACATTTGTTCTTTATACAAAGCAATCACGCCTTTACAGAAGACTTAAGCTGGTTGCACACCAGATGCGCATATGACAGTTGAAGGTAACACACAGCCGATGAACACATTTGAATGTAATTTAATATGAAACTATTCAGATGGCAGAAATATGAAGTGTCCTGAGTCATAGCTGGGCACCACAGACACCCGCGGACTTGCGGTGCCGGTGTGCATAACCTGATAGAAATCTATGTTTAGAATTCTAAAATACATGGCGCTGCGTGGCGCAATGCCGAGTAGCGCTTCTAGTGTGCGACCCCCTTTAGACTAAAAAAGCTTGATTAGTATGGATTTATTTTTTTGATCTCGTTTTGAGTCTTGGATGAACACTTTTCTTAAATTTCCATTTGTTTTCACATAAACAGATTTGTTCCTGTGCTTTATTTATTATGATGGATATTTTTTGGTGTTTTCAGGTGTTTTAATGATGTTTTTTTTCCCCTGATGCAAATGTTATTACAGAAGTAGTAATTACAGATTTTTTTTTTTTCAAAGCATGAAAGATTTGTCATCATCTGAAAAAAAAAATGGTGCTGTGGAAATATTTTTAAATTAATATGTGAAGAGACATTATTTGCACCATTTTTGCACTAAAGTATTTTCAAGATTTCACACTTAGCTGATGATTGATTATAAAGCATGTTTAGCATGCTGTCCCAGGAGAGACTGTGGAGCTCATAAGATCCTCGAGCCTGGGGCTCCCTCCCATTTGCAAGGCAAGAGGGGAGTTTGAGCTCAGGTAGATCTCGAGAACTCCCCTGTTTTAGTAGCTAATGAACAGAAAGTTATTGCTCTTAAGAGATAACTACTTATAGGAGCATATATATGGTGCCGATTTGGATTAGTCAATCAACTTAAGTTGGATGTTTTTGGACAAATGGGAGGAAACCGTGGAACCCAGGGGGAAACCCATGCGAGCACGGGGAGAACGTGTAAACTCTTCACAGTAATGTCAGCTGGCTTGGTAAGGACTAGAACCAGTGACGTTCTTGCTGTGAGGCAACAGTGCTAACCACTGGGCCACCGTGTCACCCATCTAGGAAAGGAGAAGGAGTAGGGGTGGTTTCGTCAAAACGAAGATGGCTGTCATGTGGAACTTCAATCGTCTGATTGGTGAATCATAAATTGATTCATGCGGGGGTGGCTGCAAGCAATCATAAGCTAGTGATCCTCTCGAAATTAGTTTATCAATAAACGTCACTTGTTTTATTGAAAATTTAAAAAAAAAGTATATTTAAAGTGTTTTTTTAGTGTATTATCTGTTATAAAGTATGCAATTACATGTAAGAATTTATTAGATTTTTTTACGTTATAATATAATACATTTTTTGTGTTTGTTTATTATAATGTATTTTCTCTGACTAGATTAAGACTATATTTGTGTTAAAATGATGAACGTACAGTAAGTCTTATGTGTTTAGAACAACATGAGAGTAAGTAAATGACAACATTACATTTTAACATTTCACTTAAGCAAACATTGCGTGTATGTGTACAGTATGTGTGCAAAAGCATGTACTTTATTCCAGCTTTTGTGTTATCTTTTGCGTATTGAGTCTGTGGTTCTTTTGAATCACCAATTTTCATGTATTGAGTTATTTTTTAAAAATGCAATATGTTTTTTATGTTTGTTAATTGTAATAATGTATTTTTCAAATGTAATTTCTGTGATTTTATTAAAAATATATTTATTTGTGTTATAAAATAATTGTACAGTAAGTTGTATTCACAACATGAGAGTGAATAAATGATGACAATATTACCATTTAACATTTCACTTAAAATAAGTTGTTGTATCTCACTTGAACAACCTATGAAGTCAATAATGTTTATGTGTGTGTCTGTATGTGCACAAAAGCAGATACTTTATTCTTGCTTTTGTGTTATTATCTGCCCTGAGCGAGTCTGTGCTTCCTATGAATCACCAATTTTCATGGGCCAATGAGCAGCCTGTCGACACTGCTTGGATGATTTCCACTTCGCAAGCCAAAATATGACTAAAATGGGGTGGGTTGACAATGCAATGCTTCATCAAGTGGTGTGTAGTTGCATTATCACCTGTGGCAGGGCTTGAACTACTGTATCCAGCAGCGCTCTCATTCCTGTGGCCATCTTTAACAGCTTTAACACTGTCAGAGAGAAAGAAAAACAGAGAGTTACAGAGAGTTCAACAGAAGAGTTTAGCGTCTGTGTGCACGTCTATCTGCCGTTGATCATTTCAGAAGAAGAAAAACAAAGAGGCCGATAACAGACAGGGGTTCTCCCCCCTCCACCTTGGTTTAATTACTGTCTAAACGGCTAATGAGAAGAGAAAGAAAAGGTCAGGGCTAAAATTAAACTCTCTCCCCGTACAGATGTAGAGTGATGGCACACAGACTCAGTGATGGTTGTGGACAGCAGCAGGATTAAAGACCAGATTAAACTCTAGACAAACAGATCAATCCTCAATAATACAGCACCACTGACCTGTGCAAAATACCATTTTGGTATGATGGAGTCGATATTTCTAAGGCTCCTATTGGGTAATGAGGCGAACGTAAGACTCATCGGCTATTAGGGGCTTATCAACGCATGGGCCACTGATCAGGTATTACAGGGAAATGGGGAGGAGAAAATTAGAGATTTAGGGAGACAAATAGAATTAAGTACTGGAAATGAGCAATAAATGAACAATTTGTAAAATAAAAACAATTGTATAAAAATTGTACATAAAATGATTTAATTTGCATTTCACACTGGCTGGCTGATTAAAGGATTAAAAGGTGCTCGGAAATGGGTGCAGACTAGAGATGTGGCTGTGGAATACAGTTGTTTTTACAAACTATGTACTATGATGCATTTATATATATATATATATATATATATATATATATATATATATATATATATATATATATATATATATATATATATATAAAAGTAACTGTACCGTGGTGTTAGTTACTGTGTTATGCAGCGGGTTTTGAGCGGCCAGTACTCAAGTTGGTAACCTAGGGATGTTACAGACTGTGCCAAAGAGGGGGGTGAAGTTACAGGAGGTTTCCGGGAGAAATAACAAAACGAGATGGTTGCGGGTGATACGAGAGAGTAGAATACGTGATACGAGAAGCAGTTATGCTTACCAGTTTATTAATGACTTGATCGGCTGTAGTTAGCAATAAGGCTGTTATAATCTTCTGAGGATTATTATTAACATAATGTGCTTTTGAAGCTTTTTTAGGTGAACATGTAGTTGTTTAGATTGCACTATGCATTTTATTTATGAAAACAGTGCTTATTTCAGATATTTATAATTTCTGAGATTTAGCGCGTTTGCGGCCATCAGCCTGTCACAATGAGCAGAGCAAAGACGGTTGATGTTCTACCACAAGATGGCGACAGAGAATGCAAAATGAGTCCAAAATGAGGAAAAAAACTTAGCGTAAACTTCAAATTACAGCCTATAAAATTATTATAAAATAGGTAAGTGACATTCTAAGTCGATCTCTCTCTTTGGTACTTAGGACTGTAAGACTGTCTTTGGACTGTAGTTCTGTGTTCATACTATAATAATATACTAGCATTTGCTTTGCTTTGTCTTTTTCAAGGTTAGTTATTGTGATTTCCCGATTGCAACAAAGAAATACTGGGGAATGTCATAAGACTGCTGACATTTCATGCCGTTTTGCCTTATAATCTTAAAATGTGAGAAAAATCACCTGTTTTGTCACCATTTTTGACCTTAAGCTGGAGAATCATTGAAGTACTAACTTTAAAGTAACGTTGGTGAAGTAGCAATGGTTTCTGCTGTTCTGACCATCAGCTGCAGATGTGAATGAATGGCAGAAGAAAGTAGTTCCTCTTAAAAAAGGGTTTTAAGACTCTCTTGTTAGATTGTCTTTTTTATTTATACAATTATAATATCGAACTGTAGTATAAATGCAATATCACACTCATAGCAGTGCAATATGGCTGTATATTGCCATTGCTGGGGGGCACTTACTTATATATGAGCAATATCACACTCGTAGCAGTGCGATATAGCTGTACAATGGCACTGGTGGGAGGCGTGCCCCCACCAGTGCCGATATACAGCCATATCACACTACTATGAGTGTGATATTGCGTTTATACAACAGTTTGACGGCATAATTGTGTATATAAAAACAAAATTAAAATAGAATCAAAAACGCCAAAAGCACTTGTGCACATGAATGAGAAAAAAAGTGTTTAAAGAGTTGTGAGAGAATTACAAAATTGTTAGTCAAAATAAGGCACAAAGACAAAAAAGTTCCACTCTAAGAGGCCATTTACACAACATCTCAGGCAAAAAAGAAAAAAAGATTTTATGGGGAAAAAGGAGCGAGGACTCAAATGCAAGGAAATGGGAATTTATTAAATGATAAAAATAAAATAAAATGCAAAATAAACTACCCCGAGGAGGAAAACATTAACAAAACACACAAACAAACTTGACTGGACTGGCTGGTAAGGAACAGGGCTGGACAGACAAGACAAGGCTTCAAACGATGACATGTGATGACGAACTGGCACAGGACAGCAGACATGAGGGGTTTATAAACTGTAGAAAATTAACACACAAACAGATGAACATAATTAACTAATAATGGGTTAACAAGGAGGGTGGGACTAGACAAAAGACGGGAGAGCACATGACACAAAGAGACAACACAAGGCATGCGCTCACATAAAACAAGACTAGAACACGCAGCCAGTGAGATAACTCATTAACCGCGTGTTCATAACAACACAAGTACGCGGTGCATGTAAACACGCACCACATGCTAAACATAACACCAACAGAAGACTGAACGCGAGACATGAGTACACGATGAATGAAAGCACTCACCGTGCACTCACACACGCAGCGTGCATGTTTCATCCCAGCGCCGACCAAAACCGAAACCAAATTGGGAATGAAACACTACGCTGCAGACAGACGAAAAACACAAACAGGAGTACAAGAGCGCGCACGTCCGAGGCACGCAGAGGCCGTGCACAAGCGGGAGCGCGCGCACTCTGCGTACACCCACGATGGCGCGCACACACAGAGACACACAATGACAGAAACAGGACAAGACAGAACTAGTGTCCGAGCTCTGCCACCCAAACAAGAATTTACAAGACCAGAGTGGCAGAACCATGACAAAAAGTGCATTTATTTGAAAACAGCTTCAAACTTTCAAAGTTTTTAAAAACCTTGATGTCATTTATGCGCATAGTATGCGTTTAAGGGAGTGTAGATTAAAGGCAAGCTCAAACAAACAAGCACACCAATGACGGAGTACATGGTAGTGTTGTTGCTCAAGTGCTTTCTAATGCTTCATCAGCAAAGTGTGGATTTACTTTACATTACAAAAGCAAAGATGCATCTTAAATATGCACACAGCAAATTATACATAGACACAAGCATCTTTCCGCCAACGGCACATCATTCCTTCCCAACAGGTACTGTTTACTACGAAGAAGACAGTGCCAAATGATGGCCTGACATACTTAATACTGCATTTTTGGCAGATATGTGTAAGTGTGGATTGTTTAGAAAATCTTGTCAACCAGACATTAAACTTTTTTAAAATGCATGAGAAAAAACATTTTTGGTAGCCTAAACTTGCACTGACTTAATCAAAGTACTGTATATGAACAACAACGAAAAAGCCACGTAATCTGTCTGTTTATTGTAATAGTGTATTGTACTTTTTTAGCTTCTTATAATGTTTTTGTTCTACTTGTTTTTATTAAAAAATTCTTCTTATTTTTAATAACAATGATAAAAAAATACAAAAAAAGTTAATAATAATTATTGATTGTTGATTAATTATTTATGAATTAGAGACACAGATTCATTGTGATGCATCAAGAAATGTTTTATAAACAAATTGGTCACATGTGAACTCATCAAATCATGAGGCAAGTGAACATTCACACCTGTACAGCACTTTTGATTTTTGTCATTTTGAGAAAATAAACACATGAACACACTGGCCTGTGGTGCTCTTTTGGGAGATCAAGTTCAGATTTTGCTTGCAACATTTTCCAGCCTCACTCCCTATCATTTCCAACGCAATAAAAGTGATAAAGGGCTCAAATAAATAAAAGACAGATAAAAGACAGGAGAGTAATGGCTGTGGTGTGTGACAATAAGCACTTGTGGAGATTACGCTTGGATGGATGTGCGGCAGGGCCAATTTCAGGATTTCAGCCTTATCTGAACACAAGCTGATGTAAGTTAGAGGAATTCGTCTTGCCTTTAGAGCAAGATGTACTGAGATTTACTTTGGAGACAAATCTAAAAAAAAAATGTTTTTTAAATCTGTAGTTTTTACAAACAAAAAAAAAAAACAAACAAATAAAATGGGAAACGGGAAAATAATCTTGATAAACAAAACTAGAATCACCTTTAATAGAGTGGAGGAACAATGACATCACCTTGTAGGCCAATCGACTGCTAGCATAAAACTGGTTCCCTCGAATAAATCCCTAAAGGATTTTCGAAGATTTTTCCTATAGGATTTTTCATAGACTTTCTGCAAATAATTAGCTCTGTCATCAAACACTGTTCGTTACACTTACACGTTTTGTCTAACCGGATAATCTTTACACGAAAATACATCTTTTAGCACTTTTGGATCTTAAATGCAAACACAAGAATTGAAAAGCTAACATTAGGCTATAAATGAACTACAGTGCCTTCGGGACGCTCACTTGTGATGTCAGCACCACCCTGCTACAGACAACTTTTCTAGCTTATTTTTAAAAATATGGTCCATAACAAAGATTTATTCTCTTGGTTTATAATCTATGTTATATATTATAAACTAATAAATGCGCAAAAACACATAGACCTATGTGCCTTTTGCAAACAAAAATGTTTAAGTGGAAAAAACAGTTTTGTTTTGCTTTATGGTTGTTGTAAAAGTTGTGAAACTATATGTATAAATCCTTTACATATGCTATACATTTTAAGCAGGAGTGTAAATATTGCAGTTATGACATACAGTTAAAAAAAAACAACAACATTAAATGACAAAAATTTTAATATTTAAGTATTTTTACAAATTTATTCACATGTTTGCATTACTGAGTGCAGGAAAGTGACAGGCTGCACTGATAAGCAGTATCTTCAGAAAATCGTTCAATTAAAATATATGATCAACAATCATGTCATGTTGGTCTTTACAAGTGAAGTTATTATCTACACACAATATGAATTCCCAATTATAAAAATTCTACAAACTATGAACCAGTATTTTTAAAAATACTTAAATAACAGACAAATCTAAATGCTTAACGCAAGCGGGCTGCGTTCCATTCCAGTTCAGCTCGATGATGTATAATCAGACATCGCATGTAGTCCCATTTAGCAACTTGATAGTGTGTTTTTTAAGGAAGCTTAACCAATTAAAACAATTAAGATTGTCATGTAAATGATGTGTTTTATGTTGTAGAATAAAACATAAAAGTATCTTAAATTTGTAGGAGCCATGAACCTTATTTAAGCGATTTAACCGAAATCACATTCAAAAACCCATTGACTTTGGGACGAGGGAACTGCTAAAAGGTTAACTCGCTTCTGGGTTTTTGCATAAAAAAATTGACGTCACAGAGCCTCCACTCTATGAAGGTGTGTTTAGGGAAAAGGTGCAAAACTCACAATAAATGAATACATTTCAACATTCAACCACATGTTTGATGAAGGTTTTAAAGGGATAACTCACCCAAAAAACTAAATTTCCTCAACATTTACTCACTCTCAGGCAGGCAGGGCCGGAGTGGGACTCCTTTTCAGCCCTGAAGTTTCAAGCCTTAGACTGACCCACCTCATTCACAACTGACTATATTAAAATAACGTCATTTCCAATTCAGTTTCTAATGACACTATAACGTCTTTTTCAAGAAAACAGCTGCTTGACAACTTTAGAAATGTTCAACAATCGTAACAGAATTATATGTCTTAACAATGTAAATGAAAAAAAAAACGATTAATCAGGTAAGGTAAGAATACAGGTCGGCAGCGTCATAATGCAATGTGCTGACCACTGGACCACAACGGCTCTGTTATGTGGGTGCTGTTGGACTGCTATCTGCAAGACTCATAACCACAGTATTACTTTCTATTGATGACTTAAACTTTTTCTCCCCTTTTTAGATTTCTTATCAAGTTATGTCAGGTTTATTAATGTAGTGAATCATCTGATTTTCATTGAGCAGGTGTAATATTCATTAATAATAATTATTCAAATTCTTATATTCAGTTAGGTGCCGCTGTTTGCGGTCGAATGATAGTTACATCATCATTAACCTGCAGGCTGCATTTTGCTCACGGGGCTGTAAGAAAATAAATAAAGAGCGGAGCTGCGGCAAAATAATGAATAAAAAGAATGAGGCTATGGTTAAATAAATAAATAAATGAAAAAAGTGCGACTGCTAAGAGAGCAAGCAATAGGGACACTGGCCCTCGCAGCCAAAAAAACGGACCGGCCCACCGGGAATTCTCCCGGTCCTCCCGATTAGCCAATACAGGCCTGCTTTCAGGTTCTTCGGTTGAACATAAAACCAGACAGTTCTGAAAAACGTTTGGAAAAAGGCAGCCATTGTCATCCATAGTAAGAACAAAAAATAAATAAATACTTTGTAAGACAATGTCAGATTTTTTCCATAATTCTTCAGTATATCTTATTTTTTGTTCAGCAGAAAAATTAACCAGGTTTGAAATAAGAAGAGGCCGAGTAAATGCTGACAATTTTCAATTTTGGGTGAACTGTCCCTTATGAAATGTGACCCGTTTTAACTAACAAGGTTACATTTACTCTTCCACATTGAGTATTGTACATTTTCTCCAACCAAGATGAACTTTTTATTTTTTGTTGCATGTCCTGTTCTTGTTACATACACGTTTTTAGGGACTTGATGTCTAGCAGCATATATGTAGCATTAGTGTTTGAGTAACTAACCACGTGCGATGCGTAGGACCCTCATGATACGTATTATGGTGGGGTTGATGGGCAGAGCTGCACTGATTTCAATCTCCTCCAGCGTGATGCCCATGACAGACAGCAGTACAATTGCCAAATCCAGCTGGTTCCACCTGTGCAAACACACAAGGCACAGATTTGCTCAGTGACTCTAAAAATTCAACTTTCACGCACTCTGAATCCAACCTTTCCCTCCAGTTTCGTTTCACTCTGGTCATTTAATGCCCCTAGAGAAGTGACTTTAGTGAAATTAACATTTGAAGCTCAGATTGGTTAAACAAGCAGCATGGGAGCCGAACTGTTGCTGGGGACCACTTAACAACACCTAATTAGGGAGAATTAAGGAGCCAATCCAGGATAGGTGACCTGATTCGATAATGCAGGACGAGGGACGGCTCGTTTTTACTCCCCAACACAAATCACAGTCGCCCACATCTGCGGTGCTGGAACCAGCCGCCGCACACCTGTCTGCGCAAACACACACACCTCTGCCATCCAGCTCGTAATTGTGACCTAGTTAAGAGGCGCAGAGAGCGACGACAATAAATAATGGCTTGTTGAAAGCTTTCTGGTGTCAGACCCGAATATGCGTGAATAAAAAAGACAAAGTGCGCTGCGGCATGAGCTTGTGTGTGTGATTTTGTACTCTTTTAAATGGGTCAATACCATATATTCTAATAAAGCTACAAAATGCCAGGATGTTTACACCCTGTGCTGGCTCGATGCACCTTGATACATGTCAGTATTAAGCTACTTCTACATTCATCTGGATCCATTTGGTGATTCTTTTTTCTTTTCAAAACTCTCCCTGTCTACAGTAGAATAGCTTTGCATCCACTGAAATGTTAGAGAAGGCTGAAATTATTGTACTGATGCATAAAATGATCTTATGCATGCATAAAATGCAATAAAACGATCTTTTGCATGAATAAAATTTAATACAAGTTTTACTGAGATGATACAGAGAGAATAGGATTATTAAAGTGTGCTGTTCTTTTGGCACCGTTATTATGGTATCCTGATATTATTAGTAAAATCTCTCACTTAAAGGTCTGTCTAAATCACACTTTTTAGACAATCCATGTACGTTTAGAGCAGGATAACAGTATTTATTTTTGTCACCTTTGATAGAATGTGATTGTGAAGGTTGACAATGAAGATTGTGAAAAATGACTATCAACACTGTGAATCTCTTTGTAATAAATTTATCACGTAGCATTGTCTTAAAAGACTTTTCTTAACAGTACAAACATTTCACTTGCATTTGTGACTAAATACATACAGTTGAAGTCAGAATTATTAGCTCCCTTTGAATTATTAGCCGTCCTGTTTATTTATTTTCCCAATTTCTGTTTAACGGAGAGAAGATTTTTTTTTAGCACATTTCTAAACATGATAGTTTCAATAACTCAATTCTAATTACTTATTTCCTTTATCTTTGCCATGTTGACAGTAAATAATAATTGACTAAATATTTTTCAAGACACTTCTATTGCTTAAAGTGATATTTAAAGGATTAACTAGGTTAATTAGGTTAACTAGTCAGGTTAGGGTACTAGGCAAGTTATTGTATAATGATGGTTTGTTCTGTAGACTATCGAAAAATATAGCTTAAAGGTGTCACGACCTGGGTCAAAGGCGATGACAAATTAAAGGGAGGACATATACATTATGGTTTGATACCGAAAAGTATTTATTTAAACATTAAAGAATAATCAAGTGCTCACTTTAGGTCAACAAAATTAAATACTAACCAAGGGTAAAAAAGAAACAAAACAAAACAAACAGGCGCAAAAGCCGGCTCTTCACAAGCCAACGCTGCAGACTTTTTATAGAGGGGAAATCAGGTGTTCCCAATTGAGCAGATGAGTCTCTGTCCTTCCCGCTTTCGGCCGATCAGTGGGTTGGTCAAAGAGACTCGTCACAAAGGGGTTAATAATTTTGACCTTAAAATTTTAGTTTTTTAATGTTTTTTTTAATTATTATTAAAAACTACTTTTATTCTAGCCAAAATAAAACAAATAAGACTTTCTCTAGAAGAAACAAATATTATCAGACATACTGTGAAAATTTCCTTGCTTTGTTAAACATCATTTGGAAAATATTTTAAAAAAGAAGAAAAAACAAATCAAGTGGCTAATAATTTTAACTACGTGAAATGTAAATAAAAAATGGATCTTGAAAATTCATGATCAAGCTAAAAATTCAGAAAGCTGATAAATTATTAAAACAGTGGTGTTTAATGACAAATTTAAGCTCAGACTTTTGAAGATTGTATTATCGCAATCAACAAACCATTTACTATGACATTTTGTCTCTTAACTCATCATTTGCTGCTTATTAATAGTATTCAGGTCATGGCTTGTGTTATGTGTTTTGCTTTTCTTTTTTTTTTTTTTTTTTAAAGAGTTGGACAGGATTAAGATTTTAATAAATGTATTTTTTACCCAACACTGAAGAATCTAACTAAGGATGTGTGTGTTGCTTCAAGAAGGTAACCATTTAATTGTCTTGTGTTTTATTTTCATTTGTTTTTATTCATTTATTCTACATTTAGTTGTTTTATTTAATCATATGACCATTAGTCATTTGTATAATTATAATTATATCATGTTATTGATCATTAGTTAATGATTTAATAATTATTATTGATTATTATTTGTCACTTTACTATGTTTTATATTTTATTAATGCTATTTTCTTGTAATTATTGCTTTATTATCATTTCCATTTGTTCCATATTGTTAATCTTATGACTGTGGATTCAAGTGACACTTGTGTTCATGAGTAAGAGATAAGAGAATGTCTCCATTTCAAGGTCTCTGGACAATGTTGTGAAGCAGTAATTTTCAATTGCTGTTGCTTGTGGTATAATAACACTTGTTGGATTTATCAAGGTCAGACGAAGTCTGAGCATTAAATCATACGCAACTAAGACTATTCAATAAACTCTGCTCTTTTTTATCATCATTACTTCGTCTCCTGCTTCTGCTCCTCCCTAGCTTTCTCAGTCAACTCCTATACTGATAGGAGACTGTTGTTCAGTTTATTACTGGTTACCAGGTTTGAGTATTGAGCGGCTCAACTGGCTTGCTGTCTGGAGACAAACAGACATTTCTGACAGGATCTGGCATCTGGGGCTAGATCTTATTTATTTGGTGTGAAGAATGTGATCTAACAGCTGCTAATAAAAATCTATTTTAATAATAGTCAGGTACTCTAATAAAACACTAGTTAATAGTGAAATTGGTACTTTAACTTCAGTGGTACTACATTTTTTTTCCCTTTGTGCTTGCACTGTACTATGTTTCAGATGGTTTTGGGTTTTAAGAATGAATAACTGCACTAAAAAACGAATGTTTGCTCAAACGACTTATTTAAAATAAGCTAAAACAATATAATTCTTGATTTTTTTAGACAGCTTAATTTCTTTAAGTTCAATTGACTTAAGTTAGTAAAAGCTAATAAGCTAACTTAATTCTTTCATGTTGTCTCAACATAAATCGATTGTGTAAACCCAGATTTTTTTTACAGCGTGGATGTATTAAAGAAATTTAAAATAAGGTTTTGTGCTTATGTGTCATGTAATTTCCTGTATCATGCCTATTTTTTTCAGTTTTTATAAACATAGATGAAAACAAAGAAACAACAAACAAACAAACATAGAAACAAAGATGTTTCTGCAACTTGATTTAATATTTAGAATTATTAGGAATTTACAATTACTAAATTCAACTTGAAGCATGCAGACTTTAAAGCTGTAAATGTCTTCTTATTAATGTCAATTTAATTATATAACACATTTTTATTAGTTGTAAAATTATACATGTGCACATACAAAAAAAAATAGCATGTTTTCAAATGTATCCTTTTGGAAAATGTTTTCACTTGGGGAAAAAAGCTATCACAATATGAAGGAAAGAGGGTCAAATGTGTTTTAAACGTTTTCAAATGTAGTTTATGACAATCCAAAGGAACCGGTCTTGTAGTCAGCTTAATGACAAGTCGCAGTTCTATTAGGGAAACAAACACAGGAGAAAGACTCCATTAAACCCTCGAGACAAATAAGCATGTTCACTGTAGTCATGCGCGCTTTGTTCTATTAACACCACGCAGTGCTAATTTCATTTCTATCTGCTGCCGTAAACGCAACAGCAGACACAACAACATTTTGCCATTCACACACCCTTCAGTGACTCCAGAGAACAAACTAAGAGGATTCAGTCAGGTGGTATCGACATCTAATGAATTCGTCAAATCAATTATCAGTTGCTTCGCAGTGGAGAAAACGTGAGGAGATGAAAGACGAGTAAGGGAATGAACTGAATACCTGTCTTTGAAGAAACGTCGGAAGCCAAATGCGATGAGCTTCAGGACAGCCTCCAGCACAAAGGTGCTGGTGAAGAAATAATTACAGTACTTCAGTGCGATCTCCAGAGACTGAGGGGAAGGAAACATACAGACGGAGAGGAAGCAAGACAGACAGAGGAAGAGAACAAGAGAGGTGTGAATGATTAAAAGACGTTCGCCTCGGGTTCATAGAGACAGCCGAAACTGTCATTTTTACATTAGCACTATAATAATATCATGTATTCTGTGAATGTTCAGATAAAGCCTGGTAGATTGAGAATGAAGTCATGTTAAGAGCCAAGTTGTTCTCAGATTCATGAACCCTTAGTGGCCAGTCTTAAAGGGTTAGTTCATCCAAAAAAGAAAATTCTGCCTTGACTTTTTCTGAACCACTTTGCATATTTTTTGTTATACACAAAAGAAGATATTTTGAAGAATGTTTGAAAACTGTAACCATTGCCATTCATAGTAAGACAAACAAATATTACAGAAGTCAAGCGTTACAGGTTTCCAAAACTCATCAGTATACTGAATATGAAGAGTTCAGATGCAAAAACCTATTGTAAGTGCCATCTGAAATTTCCATCAAAAAGAAACATTTTTCTAAGCCTCTTTTCTTTATGTTGTGTTACTTAACGTTAAAGACCATGAAAAGGACTTATCCTTTTCTGTAAAAGTGAAATTACAGATTTTACATACAGGAGCCTCATAAAACTAATAATTTTAGAATAAAATTTCAGACGACAGAGGATATTTTTGCATCTAAACTATTCATATATATGCATTTTTGTGTTTAATAACAATAAAAAAGGGGAAGTTTCAGTTTTGGATGAACTATTCCTTTAAATCAGCAAGAGGGATGTGGGAAACTTTTCACATTTGAAACAAAAAAGTCTTACTGAAAATAATAAGGCGAGTGATGTAAATTAGGGTTAGCTGAATATGATTATACATGATTTACAATTATATCTACAGTAAAATTATGTAAAATAAAATACTGTTACTAAATGTTGAAAACCTGACTCACACAAATTAAACTTATTGTGGCTGGCTCATTGGTCCCAATGTTATTTTAGTAAGTAAACACTAAATCCAAGACTAAAATTATTGGTCAAAAAACTTCTTTCTTAACTGAAAAAATACAAAATCCACTATAAATAAAAAAAATTAAATAAATAAATAACTACAAAGACTAACTTCAATCGCTAAAAAATGAACTTAATATATTGAGTAAAAATAAATGATCTATTTTCAGAATTCATAAGATCTTATTTTGGGGTAGAAAATTTGACCTGTGGCTATTAGGAAAAAAACATGTACAGAAGATGGCCCTTTTACAGCCCAAAGGATCAGCTCATAAAAAAACATATTTACTGTATAAACATAACACATGATTTATCTTTTCTTCATTTCTAAACCATGCGAACTAGGCATGTTTTAAAAATACATATACAGTAAAATGCTTAAAATGAAGACATTTGTCAGAATTCTTGATCATTTTTACTTTTATTTGTTGAATTTGTATGCTTTTGGATTGAGTGTTTGTTCAGGCAATTATTGTGTTTTTTTTTTATTATTATTATTAAGAGGTTTGCACAATAGTTGTAATGTTAACAAAGACTAACCATGTTCCGTACACAAAGATGTTCCTTACAGATCAGCTTTTAATGCCAATCTCTAAATAAATACTTACGGGTCGTAAACAAGCTATATATCTGTGTAATCTTTATTTCTCACTCTTTCACCCCTGAACACAACAGAGACCCTCCTACCATACATTTCAGAGAACACTCAGAACGTTTGCTACGTCCACCTAATGGCAAATAGACAGTGAGCAAGGTAAAGGGGCAAGAGTCGCTTGCGAGGGGAGACATTTAGAGCAACGACAATGTCAATTTGCACTTGCATTTTATTTGTGTATCACACCGTATTGCAGTCTTTATTAAATTAACATTATGTTTTCACAAATTATGACATAAATAATCTTTTGTTGAATAAATGTTTGAAATGAGGATATTTTAACATCAGTTGTGGGTGATGACCACATAGTACAACTGGCTGCAAATGCTGTTTGGGTCATTTTTGTGCAGTTATGATGTTTACATACATAAAAGGTCAGTTAAGTTAGCGTTACGTTGCATAAGTTTAATGTTTTGATATTTGAAATTGTCATGCTGTAATAAAATAAACATTATATAATATTATATAATTTCAAGCTTTCATAAAAAGTTATTAAATATAACATTAACAGTGTTTCCTCTAGGATTTTTTCCAGCGGTGGCAGCAGGCCTTTTTTTTTTACACTGATCTACCAACTACCTGTGGTTATATTTCAATGACAAATGTCGTGAGTGCGGTATTAAGAAGTCGAGATCACATTTATGTAATAGCCTAAGAGATGTGGATCTCTTTGCTTGCACATCAATTTCCTCTGCAGGTGCACAAAACTTCTTGCACACCCCCTCAAATATAAGCCGCTTCAGAAGCATGCAGTTCTTCTTGTGCTCTCTCAAATAAATGCTGCTGAAGTGCGATTTATGTCTCCAGCATTTATTAGATTTGTTAGGAATATTTATGAATGTCTCTAATATACCTACAAAGCGATATTAATGCGTCCTAAAGTAAAGTGAAACGGCTATACGTCATGTTTGCTGGCCTCACGCATCATGCACCTGTCTGTCATTCAGTCAGTCAGCACGTAACCTTAAAGTGTTAAACAAATGACGCACAGCACTACTGCGGCTACAAAAAAGTTTGCTCTGTTATAATTCACTTACCTTTTCATACGTTTTGGTGCGATTATTACCTGCTATTAAAAAAATTAAATGTTTTGAATGAGAAGCTGTAATGTAGCCGTGGCGGGATGAATTTTGTTGTGGCGCAATACCATGGAAGAATTACGCGCCCTGTATGGAACACTATTTTAATCGTGTATGGAACACCAATAATACCTATGATTTTCAGTACACATGCGTAGGCAGTACTTTTCCCATCTTTTCTCAAAAACTACTGGTCGAAAAGACAACAATCAAAATCTGGATTGTGCAATAGGTATTCACCCAGAGAATGATCACACAAACATGCTTATGTGGCTTTCAATAATGGAGGAGTGATCCTTTTAGTGCGCTGAATAGCAAAAAGTGTATGGAATATGTGTACGGAACATAGTATACGGAACATAGTCTACGTTAGCTATGTAAACATTCAACTTTGGAATTACTAAAACTAAGTATATAAAAACTTAACCTAAAATAACATAATACAATGATAGTAATAATAATATTAATAATAATAATAATAATAATAAATGAATAAATTAATACATTGATAAATTAAAAAAAATAATAATTATAATCATAATTATGCAAACTAAAATCAAACTGAAATGCAGAGCAGATTTAAAAATAGTCTCAAAACAAAAATTAATTTAAAAATCCAAAACAATGATTGATTCCAAAAAAAGTCTTACATGAGGCTGGCTGTAGTGCTCCAGTGACATGGTGACTACATTCACACAGATGATGAAGGTGATGAAGATATCCAGGTAGTGACTGGTGCACAGGGTGTGGATCATCAGCCGTACATGACTATAACTGGCATAGTAGGGCAACTTCTGGGCCTCTGAGAGAAATCAGCACATCGGATTAGAGCATGCGCACATTTTGACTATAATTCACAAAGCTGAATTCTGTCAATTCAACAAATGTATATCAAACATGCTTCATTCACAATTGGCAGCTCAACTTTTGATAGCCTTACAGAGACACAGTGTTTATACTAGTCTGGAAATCATTTAAAGGGATAGTTCACCAAAAACTGAACATTCAGTTATGATTTACTCACCCTTCACTTGTCATAAACTTGTTTGAGTTTTGTTCTTCCGGTGAATGTAAAATAAAGGAAAAATGTAAAATAAGGAAAATGCTAAAAAACTGGTAACCATTGACTTCCTATGGAACTGTAGAAGTAAATGGTTACAGGTTTCATCCAAATAACAGTTTTTGATTTTCCAAATAACTTCTTTTGGGATCAGCAGAAAACAATAAACTCATCAAGGCTTAAAACCATTTGAGTTTGAGTAGATATTGAGTACATTTTCAGTTGTGGGTGAACTAGCCCTTTAAAAACTGATTGCTTAAATAATTCTCTATACATAAAACCGGGACAAGAGAATATTTTACCATCAAAATCATTTCAAATTGGTTTGTGAGATGAAATGGCACTCTTTTGTCCGTAAATTAGACTTGTTTTCTTCAGAGGAAAGACGCATAGCAGAACACCTGGACAGTCTCTCCATCTGGCTAATGCTGTTATGAGACGTCTGGAGAATTAAACTGGTTGTTCAGCATATCATGCGAAAATCAAATCATCTCTTTTCATTAACTCTCACTTCCCCTCCCTTTCTGCCTTATGGAATTCATGCACTTATATGTGTCTAGTATGGCTCATAGGACTGTGACTACATCACCATGCCAACTATCAGTAATTGTATATTGTATATCTGTTGCAATTTTTTGCTGGGTGAAACTTTATAAAAATGATTCATTAGTTAGTTTTGTTAATGCTTTTACTAGCAGGAGCTTAAAATGAACAATACTCGTACAGCATTTTAAAATCATTTACTAATGCATCATTAAAAATCCAAAGTTGTGCTTGTTAACGTTAGTTAATCACTGTGAGTTAACAAGAACTAACAATATTACCTTGCTGAAAAAAAAAACAGTTTAACACTAGAACCACCATGGGGTCAATTTTACCCATCACTGTTATTCAAATGTACACAACAGACCTTCAAGTAAAACATCCAAGCCTCCCAGTCATTGACTTTTACTAAAATTGCCTTATTTACATTTTCCAGATATTAAAAATTGTTTAGATAAAAATAGATGAAAAAGTGGGACATTATACCTATGGGACATTATACCTATGAGTGCCAGCGTGGGTCAAATTTACTCACTGTAAAAAGCTTGTATTTATGCACAGCTTATGCTTGAAATTACTCACCAGTGGCTTTTACTTTCAATTGCACGCACTGAGTTAGTGGTTATATGAAATAAATAAAGTCACTATGACTTGAAGGCAATTTGTAGAGCTATTAAAAACACAAAATGCAATGAATTATGGAGAGTCTAAATAAATAAGTTGTGCATCAGAGTATGATGGCTCAAATGTAGATATTTTAACCTACTTATGAATGTTTAAGCTTTAGTGGTGTTGTTTTCCTAAAATAATCTTGTTCTCCTGAAATAATCATTCTAGTGTTCTAGTGTTAAACCAGTCTAAGCGGGTTAGCTGGTTTTAGCTGGTCAACCAGCCTGGTTTTAGAAGGGTTTTGGCCATTTCCAAGCTGCTTCCAGCCATTTCCAGCCTGGTCTTAGCTGGTCAGGCTGGGAAAATGACCAGCTAAAACCAGCTTGACCAGCCTGGTTAGAGCTGGACATAGCTGGCTTTGGCTGGTATCCCAACCTGGCTAGGCTGGCCAAGCTGGTTTTAGCTGGTCATCTACCAGCCTGACTAGCTAAGACAAGGCTAAAAATGGCTGCAACCAGCCTGGAAATGGCTAAAACCCCTCTAAAACCAGACTGGCTGACAGGCTAAGTCCAGCCAACCAGCTTAGGCTGGTTTAAGCTGTTTTTTTCCAGCAGGGATATTTCAATAAATAAAGTTAACAAAGATAAACAAATACTGTAATAAATGTTTTGTTCAAAGTTTCTTCATGTTATGAATACATTAACTAACATTATCTAATAGATCATAATTGCAAAGTGTTCTCTTTCTTTTTTTGTAATTGACTGTGTCATGCTGTAGATGTGTCCAATAATTCAGTCTAAAGACAGTCAACTAAAGACGATAATAAACCAAACAGGAGGTGGAGTTTCAATTCAGCTGCAATTGGTTCATTTTCAACCGATTTAAAACAGTTCCCACAACACATTTTTATAGCCTCTTGTTGAGTTTCTCCTACTTACTCCGTCTCTTTTTCTCCATGCGTCTCTGTCTCTTCTCCTCCCTCCTCTTGGCCTCCTCCACCTCCTGATGCTGTCGGCATTTATGGAAGTTCTCCACCACCACTCCAACAAACATATTCAGCACGAAGAAACTGACGATCAAGAGGAATGAGATGAAGTACAGCAGCATCCAGGGGTTGTTGTTGGTTATGGGCTGATAAATGAAGAGACAATGAAGAGTTAAGAACAACATTTTCTGAAGAGGACATGAATGCTGCTTGCACATACTAAGCATTTAAGGTGTCACATGGGCCAAGACTTGCTAGGGTGTTTCTGGTATTCTGCAATGATGTTTAGGTTTGTTACCAAGGTGTTGCTACAGTAGGCATATTCTATGGTGTTCAAGGTGGCCACTAGAGTGTTTTAGACATTTGCTTGGGCATTTAAGTAGATCATGACTTGATAGGGCATTTATGGTCATCTGCATTGGTGTTTTAGTTTGTTACTAGGGCGTTTCTGGGCGGTGGCAACTCACTAGTGTTTTTTTAGGCATTTGCAGTGAAAATAATAACAATAAGGTTGATAACAGATTTCTAGGGTGTTGCTAGGCATTTGGTGTGGCAATTAGTGTGGTAACAAATTACCAGTGTGTTGCTAGGCATTTGTTGGGGTGTTCAGAGTGGTTACTTGGGGGCTGCTAGGCATGCTGTGGCTGTGGCTTTCAAGTGGGTCATGACTTAATAGGATGTTTCTGGTTGTCTGTGATGGTGTTTTGGTTTATTACTAAGTTGCTTCTGGGCATCTGCTATTGTATTCAGGGTGGTAGCTCGTAACAATGTGCTAGTGTTGCTAGGCATTTTTTTTATATTGTCAAATTGGTAACTAGGGTGGTGATAGGCATTTTCTACTGTGTCATGTTGGTCACTAGGGTGCTGCTGTAGGCATTTGCTGTGGCAATCAAAGTGTTCACAAATTGTTAGCGATTGCTAGACATTTGCCATGGTATTTAGGGTGGTTGCTAGAATGTGCTTGGCATTTAGCATGCCATTTAAGTTGGTCATGGTTACATATTGTCACTAAGGTGTTGCTAGCATTTACTACAGCGTTCAGGGTGGTCACAACTCCCTCAGGTGGTGTAGGCATTTGTTATCGTATTTTTGGTGGTCACTATGAATGTTGCTAGGTAATAGCGTTCATGGTGGTCAGCGGGGTGTTGCTCTGCATTTACTGTGGTGTTCAGGGGGATCAGAACGGTGCTGCTAGGCATTTACTGTGGCATTCAAGTGGGTCACTACTTAATAGGGTGTTTTTCTGGGCTTCTGCTATTGTACTCAGGGTGGTAGCAACTCACTAGTGTGTTTGGGCATTTAGTGTGGCGATCAGGTAACAAATTGCTAGGGTGTTACTAGTCATTTTCAATAGTCTTATGTTGGTAACTAGGTTGTCGCCAGGCATTTTCCATGGTGTCAGGTTGGTCATTAGGGTGCTGCTATAGGCATTTGCTGTGGCAGTCATAGTGGTCACAAATTATTTGCAATTGCTAGACATTTGCCATTGCAAGGGTGTTGCTTGGCATTCAGTATGCCATTAAAGTTGGTCATGGTTGCATATTGTTACTAGGGTGTTTTTAGCATTTACTACAGTGTTCAGGGTGCTCACAGATGCCTCATGCGGTGTAGTCATTTGCTATGGTCTTTTATGTGGTCATTGGGGTGTTGCTAGGTATTTGCAATAGCTTTCTTGGTGGTCAACGGGGTGTTGTTCTGCATTTGCTGTGGTGTTCTGGGTTTTTGCGAAAGGCTAGAGTCTTGATCTGCATTGGCTAGTGCTTTCTTTGTTGTTGCTTGGCTTTATGGATTCTCACCTTTTCTTCACCAGGTGAATATCGCAAAGCCATAGTTTTTGATAAATTAGTTTCAAACAAGCACACCTCAGCTCTGCAAGTTATTTCATCATCCATCATTTTTGTAAAACTAACCAGGCATGACAAGTTATTCATTAAAGTTTGAACCAAATTGATGAAGAATGATGGTAAAAATAGTTTCCCACTGAAAATAACATAAAAGGTGAGAACAGAGAGTCTCCAAAATTGAATTCAACATGACAATCAACTCAGCCATGTGTAAAAATCAGTACACAGACCCTCATAAGCTTGAGAGAAATTGGTCAAATTATAGTAAAGCGAACTTTGGTGCAGCTTTTACTTGGTTGCTTAGCAGCAGCGTGGAGTGAAACAAAGACGCCAAAGTCTAAATGAGCTCATTCTAAAACATGGGATGAGAAAGCACACGGTACTCTGCACATTTCCATCTGCCTTCCCTACATAGATTACATCCTGCAGTGGACTCTGGTGTGACAGAGATGATACAGTGGGGAAATTACACATGCCATTTAATCCATGTGTTTTCCCTCCGCCCCGTGTTTGACTCTCTAAAGATGCTGGGCTCTTCCAGAGGGAGAGGGTCTGGCTGCACTCCTACACTTTATCATATTGTGCTTGGTCCCTAACCGATGCAGGCTCACTGCTTTCTGAATCGAGGACTCTTGAAAGTCATTGTTTTTCAGCTTCAGAGCCAAAAGCCTGTTAGTATTCATGAAGCTGATTGTGTGTATTCAGGATTAAATATTCACTGTTGAGCGCTTATTCCTTAAAGCTCTTTATTTTAGTCGATGGAAAGTGACTTTTGTTTGGTTCAGGGACCGTTTAAAGCTTAATAAGTATGAAAAGAAGTAACTCAGAAAATAAATGACATTTTACACAGAGTTGTTAATGCGTGTTTGTTGTGTCTTTGCTATAGCATATCATTTTTAAAAACAAGTTTACTGAACTAATGTGGAAAAACTGAATTAGTTGTGACTTGAGCTGAATTTAGAGGTTATCTGGGATGTAGAGTGATATAAACCCATCTTTTAATAATAATTGATATATTTCTGTACATGGCACTTGATAATTATTATTATACATATAGCTGTTTCTTTTATATTTAATAATTTACTTAGATTGTTTTATTTATTCATGTGCCTTTTAAATATATATATATTTATTTATTTCCATAATGTTTATTAGTTAAACTCTGCTAATTTTATGTTTTTTTTTTTTATCTAATATTAATTTATTTCAAAAGTTAACAATAACAAGACACAATACAACAATCAACAATATATTTAAAACACAAAAGTCTCGTGTTTTAAGAGAAATAGCAGGTTTTAATTTAGTCATAATAAGCAAATTAAAGGCGATGGGGTGGCGCAGTAGGTAGTGCTGTCGCCTCACAGCAAGAAGGTCGCTGGTTCGAGTCTCGGCTGGGCATTTATGTGTGGAGTTTGCATGTTCTCCCTGCATTCGTGTGGGTTTCCTCGGGTGCTCCGGTTTTCCCCACTAGTCCAAAGACATGTGGTACAGGTGAATTGGGTAAGCTAAATTGTTTATAGTGTGTGAATAGGAGTGAATAGATGTTTCCCAGTGATGGGTTGCGGCTGGAAGAACATTTGCTGCATAAAAACGTGCTGGAAAAGTTGGCAGTTCATTCCGCTGTGGCGACCCCAGATCAATAAAGGGACTAAGCCAAAAAGAAAGTGAATAAATGAATGAATGAATGAATGAATGAATGAATGAATTAATTAATTAATTAATAAATGAAGAAGCAAATTAATCTACCCACAATGACGGTAACAGAGTAAAATAAATACATTAAATAATCATAAATTAAATTAACGAGTTACACAAAAACAACATTTGTTTTAAGTTCAAACCATTAATTACAACACTGGCACATTGATACGTACCCCTGTATACATTGAGATAGTGAAATATGCCTTTTCAGATCTCAAATTTCTCTCAGGAGTGCTATTAACACCGGCTCTTCTCGCGTAAATCCACCATAGGCAGCTGTAAACTGACTGACTGACTGACTGACTGACCGACCCAACCCCCATCCCCCCTCCCCATCTTTTTTCCTAAACCTAACAGACAGTGTTTTTAAAAGAAATCCAGAAAAAAAAGCCCTCACTGTAGCCTGATTTATACCACATTTTCAGGTTTTACCCGTTCTCACCCTGTTATTTACTTGTTTATTTTTTGGCTTTTGTTTTTGTTTTATTTGCTTTCTGGGACCGTTTTTTGTCAGAATTGAACCCTTTCATCACAGTCAACTCCTCTCTGCATCTCAAGTCCACCGCCGTACGCAGCGAGCTACTGTGCAAATAACAGCAGAAAAGCCATCCATATGCAGGTAAGCGATCAGTGGGTAGCGTGAAAAGAAATAGAAGACGCTGGCAGCGTCATACCATCCAGTAGCATTCATTTTAAAGACGAAATGCAGCCATACGTAACTCTGGCTGCATAATTTGCACTCTCCAGAAATGTATATAATGTTTTCGCAATAAGCCTGTGTTCATTTTATGATATAGGTTATATTACTGAATAATTAACACAGTTGATTGATATTTTACTCTTAAATACGTGCGTGTGAGGAGGGGGATCGATAAATTAAAGTTCTGGATCAGATTTCAGAGGTGCCAAATCCAGATCCATCTTGTTCCAGCACAAATTACTCATTAGAAATGCGCAAATATTTGTTTATGACCTTTTTAGTCATATCAAACATTAAAGTGAATTTTCTATCAAATCAAGGTGCACACTACAGTATCTAAACTGGCTGCTTCACACACATCAATATTTTAACAATTTTATAAAAAATCGAATCATTTTCTGGCCATCAAAAATAAGGCATGGATATATAAATACCAGTCGTGATTTTCGACAGTATTGCATCGCTTTGTAAACATTTATTATTACCATTTTGTTGAGTCTCCCCATACAGTTTAATATGATATAAATATGCCTGTTTTAAAATAATGTTTCCCAATACAACAAGACTTGCACTAATGGCTCATTAATGGCATTTATATGCAATTATTTATGACAATATGACACAAAAACACAACATTTTCATTCAACAAATTAGTATTAATAGGATATCAGGATGGCGACAAAAGCAAACATGTTACATGAAGAAAATATTACCTGTTGGTCCACTGCCACAGCATCCAAACCATGATACATGATGTTGACCCAGCCGTCCTTCGAAGCCAGTACAAACAAGGACATCAGAGCCTGGAAAGACATTAACACGTTTATATGAGCACCTACAAGGACACGCAGATACAAAGACAAACGAGACAAACGAAAAAGATAGATGCTGGACAGACAGATAGGTGTATCTGATAGACAGCCACATGTTACACAAAGAACCACTTCTGACATATAAAAGACACATATAACAGATGATCAAACTAAACAAAGTATTGGCTCAGCATTTGGTATTTTGTGAATCTGTCACACAGTTTGACGAACCCGGTCACAAAACAAACCAACCTGCCCCAAGTTGTCAAAGTTGTACTTGTGATGGACCCACTTATAATTGGCCAAGAGGCAGTCAGACTTGTTGGTGATGTTTTTGACATCCAGGCCCAAGCAGTAGTAGAACTTGCCTTTGAAAAGCTGTTGAGGCAAAAGAAATATGGCACACACTTCATGTCACTCAACGCCACATGTCTCCAGCATCTCTTTAATAAAACTGTCAGAGCACGGTGGGATATTTGAAAGAAAAAGGGTGTTATGAAAGAAGACCAGGGGAGAATATGAAAACATTCTATATGAAGAGAAGAACAAGATATGGCACTAAAAATTAACAAGAACGAATATTAGACAACGAAAAAAAAAAAGTAAAAAAACAATGGTAATAATGATAGAATGAAAGAGAGATTAAGGAAAAAAAAAAACATGACAAAAAGACTAAAGACATTAGACCAGTGGTTCTCAAACTTTTTTCATCAAGTACCACCTCAAAAAAAATTGTCTCTCCAAGTACCACCAAAATGAGCAGTTTTGAAATACAGTAGCGTAGTAGGCTCAGTAAAGCGGCTACAACTCTGCTCAGTTAAAAAACGTGGCAGATTACCTCAGAAATATAGGCTATATGTCATATATGGCATATTATATACATCATTTTTGATAAATTTTGAGTTTGAGAACCACCGCATTAGACTATTAAATTTAGAAAAAAAAAGTGATAGTCAAGTCTCAATTCATGGTCTAGGTAAGAAAAGATACCAAAATAGAGAACTAATATATGGTAATACAGTCCCCAGAATATATAAGTACATCCCCCACAAATCTCTCATTTAAATGAATATTTTCTATAGGATGCTTTACAATATTGTATTTGTGCAAATACAATTGAAACCAGAAGTTTACATACACTCTAAAAAAAGGAACATAACCATTTTTAAAAAAATGTCTGATGGTAAATCATACTAAATGTTTACTATTTTAGGTCCGTTAGGATTATCTAAATGATTTACATTTGTTAAATGCCAGAATAATGGGAGATTTCTTTTTTGAGAATTTTTTATTAATTTCTAGACAGTCAGAAATTTACATATATTTCCTAGATATTTTTTTAGTTTTGCTTTTAAACTGTATGTCTTTGGTCAAATGTTTTGGGTATCCTTCCACAAGCTTCTCACAATAGTTTAAAGGAATTTTGGCCCATTCCTCCTGACAGAATTGGTGTAACCGAGTTAGATTTGTTGGCTGTCTTGCTCGCACAAGTTTTTTTAACTCTGCCCACAAATTGTCTATAGGAATGAGATCAGGGCTTTTTAATGGCCACTCCAAAACATTCACTCTGTTGTCCTTAAAGCACTTTTTAACTAATTTGGCATAATGCTCACGGTCATGGTCTGTTTGGAAGACCCAATTGTGGCCAGGTTTTAATTTCCTGGCTGATGTCTTGAAATGTTGCTTCAGTATTTCTACATAATGTTCTTTCTTCATGATGCCATCTATGCGGTGAAGTGTACCAGTCCCTACTGCAGCAAAACAGCCCCACAACATGATGCCGCTGCCCCCATGCTTCACAGTTGGGAAGGTGTTCTTGGGCTTGTAAGCTTTCCCCTTTGTCTTCAAAATGTAACTCTGGTCATTATGGCCAAACAGTTCAATCTTAGTTCCATCAGACCACAGGACATGAATAAAATATATTTTTTTAATAAATATTTCTGTTTAATAAATCTGTTTTGTTCAAATGCACCAATATTTATTGCCCATATTCACTGATAAATGAATAAAAAATATTCATTTACAAAATGGGGTGTACTTAATTATGCTAAGCACTGTATATGGTAACTTGTATGTAATATATGCAAGTTACATAGATGACATACAAGTTTTAAGTAGCAAAAATGGCACAGTTTACATATAATATATATATATATATATATATTTAACCATTAGAATGACAAGTATATGTGTATTTTAATATTTCAAATTTCCTTTTAGGCATGAAGAAGAAAAAAAAAATTAAAGGGTGCCCAGTTTAAAGCTTGAATTTAAAGAAAAACATTTGAATTTTATTTTAAATAAGTCTCTTTTGCTCATTAAGACTGCATTTATTGTATTGAACAATGCAGTAAAAACTGTATCATTAGCACATATTTATATAAATAATAAAAAGAGTTAATTTTAAATATTTTACAATTAAATTTATTTCTGTGATGGCAACCTTAGAAATATATACTGTATATATGTATATATGGTACTTAAATGTTTATTATTAATATGAATAATGTTGAAAACAGTTGTGTTGCTTCATATGATGGTGGAAACTATAATTCTATGATGAATAAAAATAATTATGTATTTATCATTTTTTTAAAAAAATGCTATAAATCCACTTTTCGCTTTCCATCAGGGTAAGTTATCTTTGCTGAATTACTGTTAATTTCTTCCCAACATTTTTTAAAGCTAATGAACGTTTGTGCATGTACATGTAACAATCTAACTACCATAATATTGTTAGTGTTTATCCATTTTGAAGATAATAAATAAACAAAAATACCAAGATTACTGTTGAAAATTTTCATATAAAAATCTACTTTTGCAATGCAAATGTGTAACAAACAATCCCTTTGAATAAACATGTTTCATCAAGTCCTTGTTGTTTACCTGAACTCCCAGGATCCCAAAAATAATGAAAAAGGCACAGCAGATGAGAACTATGTTTCCAATAGGCTTAAGAGAGGTGATCAAAGTCTCCACAACTAGTTTGAGACCAGGAGCTCGACTGATAACCCTGTCAAATAGAGAGAGAAAAATAGGATGAAAATCTGTAGACTTATAAACCAAGCACACGTTGGACAACATATTACGAATGCTTGCAGTACCTGAGAGGGCGCAGTGTGCGAAGAAGCCTGAGGACCCTGAGCACCCCCAGGATCTTAGCCCCGCCTGCCATCGACACCACAATATCAATCAAAGACACAAACACCAGGAAACCATCCAAAATATTCCAGCTGCTGCGCAAGTATGCCTGCTCTCCAATATACAAACCCATAGACACCACCTAGAATAAACAGGCAAACGAACAATTAGGCATGGGCAATTATTGTGTCTTATTAGTGTTCTGTGGCTTCATGTCTTTTCAGTGTGGACCTTTTCTTAAAGGAAAACAAAAAAATGCTTATTTTACAACCATCCTAGAGTTCAACAGTTGACTCAAACCCTTTCTGTACCCACTGAGTCAATTTCTTGGTCTGGCTGGGTGCCTTTTAGCTTAGCTTAGCAAAATTAATTTAGTCAGCTTAGACCATTAGCATTTAGTTTAGTTTGAAAATTTTCCTATTTAAAGCTCTACTTTTTTTAGTGGTACATAGTGAAATAACACAGAAGAAAAATGAAAAGTTACTATTTATTTAGGCCAGTATTGCTTTACTCTCATTCTGGCATATTAGGCAAGAAACTCTACTGCATTCCCATGGCTGCACCAGGGGGATTGATATAAAAAATAAGTAATAAACTGGAGTAAACAACAAAAATTAAAAAATTTTACAAGTGTTTCCTAACATTTACTGTATAAGCTTCCTTCTTCTGTTGAACACAAAACAAGATATTTTAAAGAATTGTGAAAACTGCTAGCCATTGCCATCTATAGTAGGAAATAATACTATAGACGTAAGTGGTTTCCAACATTCTTCAAAATAACTTCTTTTGTGTTCAACAGAAGAAAGAAGCATACAAAAAAGGTTGGAACAAGAGGAAGATGAATAAATGACATCATTTTCATTTTGAATGAACTGTTCCTGCAGGAAATTATTGTGAGTCTTGCATTTACGCAACCACTCGTGTGCGTAATGGTTTATGTTCTTATTTGTTCTTTGTAAGAGACGGTTTTTTCTTCTAATATTCTTTTTGAGGCTTGATCACACCACTATTACTATAATGATATATGATAACGCTAACTGTAATAGCATCCTTATCATCACACAAGAACATTCTGTGCATTATAAGTGTACACTCTGTCATCTGCAAGTTGCAGCTTCAGATGTCAAAACTATTGGATGAAACGCCGATCCTTACAGCACACAAAACATGAAACACCAAGAGTTTTAAATTTTAATTGGATATTTGTTTTTAATTGGATGAATTCTAATAGATTTCCATGAGACACGTCGCAATCTTTAACAGTCTGGTTTAAAACAGTCTAGTTGTCATAGCAAACCTTTCAACCAAACAGCTACTCAAAACATGTATGTGTCGTCAGACTATTTAGAATCCATCCAAGAGTTTTACATGCTGTTGTTATAAGGACATTGATGATACATTTTCACATTTAGCTATTAAAAGCTGCAAAAGAGTCTAGGTCACTCATCAGGTCTGGTTATACAAGATTCTGTAAAAGTGTTTTGCGATAAATCAAAGTGAAATCAAGATCAAGATTTAGCAAAAGCTGCAACTGCTATGCACATCTTATCAGGGGAGCACGGATCTCCAATCAGTAATCTCTTCCGAAGCCAGAGGGCGCTCTTGCACTGAAGCTGAAAATATGCCGCAAAGAAGACAGTCTGTAAATCAAACAGCCTATTTAGCTGCTTTATTGATTTAACATGATTAATAAGTTACATGAACACAGAATCTTCTTAAAGAAGGATTTATTTCAACTCGACTGATGTTTTTAAGTGGGTTTGGAGTAAACCCATGTTATTAAATGTAGTATTTCACATACTTTCAGATACAGCAGCAACACAGAGCCTTAGATTAAGAGCCAACTGTCAAATTGCAGAATGATAATCTTCGATTTTAGAATCACATGCAATTTATGCATAACTCATCAGTAAACCATGGTTGTGTGAACGCTGTACCAACTAAAAGCATGTGCTGGATTTACACAGGATTTCCAACTCTCATGCATTTGGTGTGAGACTTATGCAATTGGCAGTATTTCAACACCCACTGCCCCTTCATTCACTCAGTCACTCCCCACAAAGCCACTCACCCGCTCTTCACTCTTTGGGTCGATAATAACAGTACATAGTAATATATTTTCCAGGCATCCCTGGATTTACAGCTAATGACAGAACAGGCTTTACTGACAAAATGCACATGAAAATGGCCTTCGATTAATTTTGCAGCCCTATTTTAAGCCCGGGACAAAGTAAGCCAACAAGAACACACCATACTGAGGGACAGACTCTCATTCCACAAGGGAAAACTGGAATTTGTGATGAAAAAAAAAAAATGTAAGCAAAGCAGCATTAGTAACATTTTCACAGAATGTGTACTTAACCTGGGAGACATTTATTTATTATGTATTTATCTGATAATCCATATAGTTGATAAATATTTAGGAAATCCAATAAAATGACAACCAGCCTAATTGTATTCCCTCTTGATTTCTATCTTTTGCTTGGTTGCATTATGGATGGATTTTGCTAGTTCAAACTTTGATCACTCGTTGGCTGAAAACAATCCCTGTAAAAGTGATTCCAACAATATTGTTGTTAGAGTCTCTTCCCCGATACTTAGAAGGACTTTTAAAAACTAGATAGTTAAAGCCTTTGATGTGAATAGGCCTTTAATCTGATTCCAATCCCTACTAGTGTGATTTTGCAGACACAAATTTGCTGGAAGTGATCAAAACATGTATTGAAGTGCAAAAACAGACAGCCAAATCAGGACAAGCAGACTGTTCTAAATCAGGCCCAAAAATAGTGCTTCCTGTAGAGCTCTGCACAATTTACAGTATATCTAAAAATCCACCATTATGTCAGTGGCGAGATGCAGATGTGCTTGAGGAAATGCTGATGGCTGAGTTATGACTTGGAGGTTTAAAAACACAGAAAAAATATTAAACTAAAATGGCAGAAAAAGTGAAGAAAATACAAAACCCATTGAAGCTCCAAGGTGACCTGAGCCTTAGGCCTCTCAGGCAGATTCTTGTGACACTAACAAGACAAGTGACAGGAAAGAAATACAAACACACACACATACTGACGTCAGCATTGGCTGAGAACTAAAAGTGAGAAGAGCAAAGGGAGCAAGAAAACAGAGCTACATAGAGAGAGTTATGTACTTTTAAGAAATGAGTTGCTCTACAGAGACGCACATCTGCTCTTTCCTGAGATCAATTTAGGCTGTATTAGTCTGACAGTTTCTTTACAATACTGCCAAAAAAAGCTAATAATAAATCAGTGATGTATAGCAGACTGGTACTGTAATGTGACACTTGCGCTAGCAATTTAAGGAGGTGCTTTTTGACTGAGAGCAGATCTGCTTGCAGAACACCTATTAGTTGAGTGTAGGTGGGTTGGGGACAGTAAAATCAGCCATTGCCCCTCAGGCTATGCTATACTGGTAGGTGTATTTTTGCAGGAGCTAGCAGAATCTGCTTCCCCAAGGATGAACTGTAATTGTTGACTCTCTAGTCCCCGAAAGAAAGGAGGAATTATTGTTTGACTTGTGTCTTCCATTGCAGCGGTGCTTTAAAAAAATGACACAGTAAAAAATATGCAACATCTTACATGTTAACTGCTTATGAATAGTTGACATTTCAGAATGTAACAAAAATATCTATAGTATCTAAAGAAATGTGAGTTTTATACACTTGTTGTGCATGAAATCAAATATATAAGGAATTCTAGATCGGACAAGTAGCCTGGAAATTAAGGATTAGCTATTGAAAAAAATTAATTAATTAATTAAAAAATAAAAATAAATAAATGAAATTATTATTCACGGATCTATAGATAAAATAAAATATCCATGAATCTATGGATAAAAAAAAAATAAAAATAAATAAAATAAAATAAAAATAAAATAGATGAATGGATTAATGGTTGGATGGTTGGAAGGATGGATGTATGGAAGAGAATATAAAGACAGGACATTTATCAATGCATCTATGAATAAACAAAGTAAAATAAGATAAAATAAAGTACAATAAAAAATTAAATTAAATTAAATTATATATTCATTTATCTATAGATAAATTAAACAAAAAATAAAAAAATAAAATAAAACACATGGATGAAATAAAATATAAAAACAGGACAGTTATCCATTGATCTATGGATAAAAAATTAATTTAAATTAAATTAAATTAAATAATAATAATAAAAATGAATCTATGGATAAAATTAAATAACTCCACAACTCTACAAAGGACAATTAGTTCAGTGGAAAAATATAGACAAATTGAATAAATAATAAAGATATAGCACAATTACTTTAAATAAACTAGAAAAAGTAAAATAAACACATCATTTAGATCCACTTGTGGACATCTCCTGAGACTACAAGGATGTAGTGCTGCTCTTGACAGCTCTATCTCTTGTTTGTTCCATTTCTTAATAATTGATTAAGTTACATAATTGATAACCTACAAGTGTCAAGGGCTTGCGGCTGAATAGATGGGCTAGCCTTTGAGATTGACTGCATCTGAAAGAGGAAACTGCCTCTAATTAATATCACTGCTTAATTGCTTGTCATGAGAGACCCAGCAAGCGCAATACACTACTCTCAAAGGGTCCAGAGGAGAAAGTGAGACCGAGAGAGAGAGTAAAGGAAGATGATGAAATGTGAGAAGGATTAGAGATACACACACTCGGTTTCATCTTCTAGGAGATATTTAGCATTTAACTAATTACATATCCAACGAACATAGACTTAAGCCAAGGTCACACTGCACTTTTTGCCCTATAGACTTCCATTCATATGCATGCGAACGTGACAGACTGGAAACAAGCTTGTGTGACAAGTTTTTGCAGTTTGCTGCATTGCAAAGTTCAAGATTGGTGAACTCTGATCTGCTAAATCGCATTATGTGATTACGTGAGACCAAAAGAAGATCAAAACATGACTTCCCAGTACTGAAAATTTAAATATGGAGCAATTGCTCACTTTTTTTAAATTGTCTAATCATCTTGTTTAATCATTTTACTTTGCCGTATGACAGAATTTTTTTTTGCTCAAACCCTACTTTGACCGCAGCTTTAAGCAGAATCTTCCAAGTGTAAAATAACAATGTATTATGTTATATACACACACACACACACACACACACACACACACACACACACACACACACACACACTATACACACTATACACACAAAACAGTTGTGATGTTACTATAAGAATCTTACTGTAGGAAATGATACAACAAAAAGTTATGACTGCAAATGTTTTAATGTTCTTACTTGTCTTATTTTAATAAAGTTAATCAGCTTTCAAATACATTTCATAAGTTATGCTAAGTTTAACTTTATATTTTTGTCAGTTGTACTGATATTACCGGCCACTTTATTAGGTACACAATACTAGTACTAAAGTACTAGTACTAGTGCTAGAGCTGAACCCCCTTTTGTTTTCAGAACTGCCTTATTCCTTTGTACCATAGATTCAACAAGATAAATATTCCTAAGAGTTTTTGGGTCCATATTGACAAGATAGCATCACACAGTTGTTGCAGATTTGTCAGCTGCACATCCATGATGCAAAACACCCATTCCACCACATTCTAAAGGTGCACTGTTGGATTGAGATCTGGTGACTGTGGAGGCCATATGAGTACAGTGAACTCATTGTCAAGTTCAAGAAACCAGTCTGAGATGATTCACGCTTTATGACATGGCACCTTATCTTGCTGGAAGTAGCCATCAGGGGATGGGTACACTGTGGTCATAAAGGGATAGACATGGTCGGCAACAATACTCAGGTAGGCTGTGGCGTTGACACAATGCTCAATTTGTACTAATGGGCCCAAAATGTGCCAAGAAAATATCCCCCACACCATTACACCGCCACCACCAGCCTGAACCATTGATACAGACAGGATGGATCCATACTTTCATGCTGTTGACACCAAATTCTGACCCTACCATCCGAATGTCTCAGCAGAAATCGAGACTCATCAGACCAGGCAACGTTTTTCCGATCTTCTATTATCCAATTTTGGTGAGCCTGTGCCAATTGTAGCCTCAGTTTCCTGTTCTTAGCTGACAAGAGTGGCACCAGGTGTGGTCTTCAGTTGCTGTAGCCCAATCGCCTCAATTTTTGACATGTTGTGCGTTCAGAGATGCTCTTCTGCATATCTTGTTGTAGCAAGTGCTTATTTGAGTTACTGTTGTTTTTCTATCAGCTGGAACATTCACCATTCTTCTCTGACCTCTGGCATCAACAAGAAATTTGCGCCCATAGAACTGCTGCTCACTGGATATTTTCTCTTTTTCGGACCACTCTCTGTAAACTCTAGAGACGGTTGTGCATGAAAATTCCGATAGATGAGCAGTTTCTGAAATACTCAGACTGGCCCGTCTAGCACATACAACCATGTCACATTCAAAGTCACTTAAATCACCTTTCTTTCCCAATCTAATCCTCGGTTTGAACTGCAGCAGATCGTCTGGACCATGTCTACATGCCTAAATGTATTGAGTTGCTGTCATGTAATTGGCAGATTAGAAATTTGCATTAACAAGCAGTTTGATAGGTGTACCTAATAAAGTGGCCGGTGAGTATAAGTTAAGACGGCTAGAAAAGTTCATTTGATTCAACTAAAAAAACTTAATTACAAAGGATGCAAAATAAAACCATTTTTAATGGTGCTTTTTCGGATCCCACTGTATGTCATATGCATAACTATATGGATTATATTCCTGTAGAATTCAAAGTGCTAAAACATGCATGGGGGAAAAGGAAAACATCTCTAAATACAGAAATAGTAGTGGAAATAATATGTTAATTTCCTTCTGTTTTTCACCACATATTAGAAGTACGACAGCAATTAAAGCGTGAAGAAAAAAAACATTCAAGGCAGTCCTGAAATCAACACAATTCAGTATACCATGTAGTAAATGTAAATATTTACCTTGAGCGTCATCTCCCCCACAAATATGGCTGTGAAAATGTAATTGGACACGGTAAGGAAAAGCCTCTCCTGCAGAGGGAGGAAAAGGAGAGAAATAAGAAAAACAGAACAATTAGAAAAAGAGAAAACACCATAGAAGGAAATAGCTAGAATGTTGTCAATGCTGTGAGGATATCTGCTCGAGGACAACTGGAAATAATCAATGAGTAAATCAACAGGTTAAACCACTAACTCAAAGATCATTCGGCCTCAATCTTACCAGGCTACCCTGAAGGATCTTGGGTCTCTCCAGAGCCACAGTGATGCAGTTTGAGAAGATGAAGGCCAGCACCACATAGTCAAAGAGCTTGTGGGCTATGATGGACTGACACAACAACCTGAACCTGGAGAGAAAGGTCAAGGTCAAGAAGAGAGACAAATACAGACTTGAACTAAACGAAAAAAAGTCTAGATGAGTAGGAGTAAATCATGGCTTAGTTCCAAAATCTAGTGAGCTGTCTTGATGTCTACATAGAGAGCATACAAACTATCGTGGAACCATTCTGAATAATTGACAGAGTATAGGCTACAAAATGTTCTGAACATGAGATGAGAATTTTGGATGATGTTTTTAATATATATTTCAGGGAATGACAAGAAGCCAAAACAACAACTGGCCATACTCTTAAATGTTTGTATGAAGGGATTATCAAAAATCAGCAACTCTATTTTAATTAAGTAAAAATACATTATAACTTTTGGAGAGGATTTTGGAGATAATAATCAATTTTGAATATTATAATTAGTAATTAATTGCATCAAAAATAGTTTGTTTTGACCATCCAAAAGTTTGTTTTGGTATAATTTACGTGTTTGTACTGTTTATATTTATTATGCATACATTATGCGTTGAGAAAATGTTTATTTATATTTACATCTAAAATATATGAGTAAATGATTCATATTATACATACATTTATTCATTCATTTATTTTATTTTTGGCTTAGTCCCTTTATTCATCAGGGGTGGCCACAGCAGAATAAACCTGGTTTTACAGCACATGTTTTATGTAGTGGATGCCCTCCCAGCCGCAACCCAACATTTGGAAATACAGTACATACATTTAGATAAATATAAATATAAATAACATCTATGTAACAAAATAGTTTTGTAAAGTTTTGTTTCTATATACACGTGCGTTTTTTACATATACATATTAAATATATATAGTTAGGTCCATAAAGATTTGGAGATCGACACAATTCTAACAGTTCTGGCACTGCACACCAACACAATGGATTTGAAATGAAACTAACAAGATGTCCTTTAACTGCAGACTGTTAGCTTTAATTTGAGGGTATTTACTCCAAATCCCTAAATCTAGTGCATGCTGTTTGCAAATGTGCCTCCCCACTTGTTAAGGGTCCAAAAGTAATTGGACAGAATAATAATAAATCAAACTTTCACCTTTTAATACTTGGTTTCAAATCCTTTGCAGTCAATTACAACCTGAAGTCTGGAACGCATAGACATCACCAGATGCTGGGTTTTATTGCTGGTGGGGCTCTGCCAGTTCTCTACAGCAGCTGCCTTCAGTTCTTGCTTGTTCTTGGGGCATTTTCCCTTTAATTTTGTTTTTAGCAAGTAAAATGCAAGCTCAATCTAATTCAGGTTAGGGGATTGACTTGGTCATTGCATAAGTTCAGAAGCATTTGGCTTAATATGAGCGAAAAATATTGCTTGAAACACATCAGAATTCATCCTGCTGCTTTTGTTAGCAGTCACATCATCAAAAAATACAAAAGAACCAGTTTCATTGACAGTCATACATGCCCATGCCATGACACTACTACCACCATGCTTCACTGCTTAGGATCACAAGTAGTTCCTTTCCTTCTCCATACTCTTCTCTTTCCATCACTCTGGTACAAGTTGATCTTGGTCTCATCTGTCCATAGAACGTTGTTCCAGCACTGTAAAGGCTTTTTTAGAACTCTAATCTAGCCTTTCTGTTTTTGAGGCTCAACAATGAGTGAATAACACACATCTTGCCGTGGAACAGCTGAGAAGCCAATTATCCAATTACTCTTGGAACCTTAACAAGTGAGAGGCACATTTGCAAACTGTTGTAATTCATACATCGTTCACCTGATTCGGATGTACATACCCTCAAATTAAAGCTGACAGTTTGCATTTTAAATTAATTGTGTTGGTGTATAGAGCCAAAAATGTTAGAATTGTGTCGATGTCAATATTTATGGACCTAACTTTATATAACACACATATGTCAATACAATCTTTTATTTTGGATGTGATTAGTCGTGATTAATCTTTGCCTAGCACGAATTACAAATTTAAGTAATTGATATAATATAATATAATATAATATAATATAATATAATATAATATAATATTTCAGTCTTCAATATCTTCAGTTTCAAATGATTGTTTAACACTCTATCATATTCAACATATTTATTATAATAAATAGTCGACTCTGCAATAGTGTTTATTTTGCTTTCAGCAGAAGCTTATTTAAATCTTTTTAAACACAATTAATGACACGTTTTTATTAATAAAATGTTCCTTTTCTAAATTAAACTATAAATTCAGAGTAAAAAAAAAAAATCTTATAGCCCCTAAACTTGTAAACTAACTCAGTACATCACCATCACTTTTTTCTCTCATCCCACAAAACTTGTCACAGTGCATTTTGGCAGCTCAGAGTCAGAAACAGTCAAACATCTCAATTTTCCCTCAGCAACACAAACTTTCACAGGACATATACAGACCAGACAGTTTGTAAAAAAGCAGACTGACAGGCAGAGGGTGGGAATAATCGGCTCCTATCTCACTGACAGCGATCAATATCCTAATCAAGCCACCCTCTAAAGAGCTGGCAGCCCATCAGTGCTATTGATCAGACAGGCAGAGCAGAAGAACCGCAGGAGAGAAGCCGAGCTGTGCAGGCATCTTCCCCTCTGTGTTATTCAGAGATCAAATCAGCTGCACTATAGGAAACTGCCTGTGACACAAGCTTGCCTTTATCTGCTTAATTCCAACCTGTTCTTGGGCACGGAGCAACTGATAATCTGTTTAGCTTAATAATGAGGTGAGGCTCAACAAAAAACGACTTCCAGCTAGACTCTTAAATTTTACTGCTTACACTGACAACATCTGACTCTTCCCTGACTGGGATTTTTTTAAATTGCAAAGGCATGGGTGTGGTCTGAGGCTGTCTGTAACAACAATATTATTGACTTAATAAATCGCCCAAAATATGGCCACAAAAAGATTTTAAGCTATAAAAATAAGACACTGGGTTTATAAGGCTGTCTGCAGCAACAATAAGATTGAAATAATATTCCCTAAAATTGAAACAAACAAAACAAAACAAAAGATTTTATGCTGTATTTCAGAAACTGAAAAAACAAAGCAAACAAAAAAAATATTCACATTCATTCTCATGCTGTTAAATCAAAACGAAACAAAATGAAAAAATGAAAAACTAATAACTAGTAATTGACAAAACAAACCAAATATAAAAAACTAAATCACATGTTTGTTCTCATGTTACGTTCACAACAGATGTGGATGAAGCATCAAGCTAGAATTATTTACATTTTAAGTCAATGCAAAGACATGAATAGACATCCTGCGTCATGAATGATGCGATTAGCATGAATGAAGTGGCACGAATTGCTCGAATTGGAAAATCTAAACTTCAGCGGACATTCACGCCGCATTAACCAAACATGAGCTTGTTCTTGTAGGAATTCAGCTATTCTCTCAATAAAATCCATGTTAGCCATTTAGCACGAAAGCTAGAGTCACCGGGCAGACAGAAGGCCTTCTCATGACACGAATCCATGTCTAGTGTGAAGTAGAGCTAAACGATTTTGGCTAAAATGAGATTTTTTTTTTGCTTAAAATCAAGATTACAATTTTCTCACGATTCTGTAGATGTGCTTTCGGTTTCATTTTCACTGCTAAGTGCTGTTCATCATCCCACGCGTCTCCCAAACGATCACTCTGAGCCACAAACTGACTGTTGTTTACAACTTTATTACCTGTTATTCACAGCCTATGCAAGTTCTTATCACTAAAGTAGACTTCATTCACAAGCGCGCGACTACCCTTTCTGTGGTAACAGCTCATGGTCAGCTCACGTCACATGTGATTTTGCGGCCGCGAATACATCATTACATAAAGACAGAAATTACATTTTTGGGTGAATTATACCTTATAAATACAGTATTTTAACACCATTTGGAGGTGTCCACATTATTGAGCAATGTATGTAAAACAACAAGAAGATTTGTGCGGCCGCCTTTGCTTCTTTGTAGAAATGCTGAATTAAGATCGTCTAGAGAGTCGAATCAAGATTGCGATCTTTTTTTAAATTAATTGTGCAGCTCTATTGTGAAGTTATTTGGATGTGTGAAAGAAGCGAATGAACGAAGCAAGCTAAATTTAAATTGTCATGCGTCTATTTAAGCGCGAATAGCATGATTTATTTACGTGTTCAACATCTGGTGTGAACACAGCACCATGCTGTTAAAACTAAATGTAAGGAATTAGAGCAAAATCAAAATAAAACAAAACAAAACATAGAAAACAGAAAAAAACTTTAAAAAATAAATACACAATACTTTTTTTTATTTATATACTACATAACTAGTTTTTTTTATAAATAATGATTCATTGAGAATGCATAGTACTTTGGCTTGTCAAAATAAAACAAAATAAAATATAAATGTTATACAAGTGTAAAATGATTATTACGTTCATATACTGTAGGCTCACTTAATAAGTCAATCTTTACAAACAACTGTGAAATGGTGGAATGGCATGCATTCATCTGTTTTTTTCTCAATTACAAAATAAGCAGAGAACAGATGTATAGTGCATAATATCTAAAACTACCTATATAAATTGTGTGCGAACAAGACCAGGTAAATCAGCTTCCCTCAGCTCTCATAAAGAGCTTTTTAAGACTGTTATATATTCACAGAAATCAGACAGTGAAAGCACTGACTTGTTTTGAGGAGAGAAGAGGAAGACAGACCAGTCTTCCCTGGTCTCACACCAGTCCGGTCTGTACACCTCCATCATCTTCTGGATCCGGAAACACAGACTCTGCCGAGAGAAAAAGATGCATTTAGCATATGATCTTTTGCCAACAGTGATGACTGAGATGAATTCTCCACAATCCAAGGTGGAAGAACATTCTTGGAAACACATTTGATACTGTAGTTGAAGCAGTTATAAAACGCAGCTATCCAATGTTTCAGGTCCCATGGAGCCGCAGTGTTACTCTTAATTGCTTACAAAACAAGAGAATCTGGCTTTAAAAACAAGAGTCTGGCTTTAAATTAAAAACTAAAATCCTACTGCCATCTGTTAGCGTTCTTCCTCAACAGATAATAATTGGGTGATTTTAATTGTGTAGTTCATTGTATGAACAATTGGCGGTGTGTCAGGATTATTTACATTGTGTGGACAAGCTTTTTTACAGGCGTAAAGCCTTTCCAGAATCCTCAGATAACTCATTAGTGAAAAATAAAATTTATTTAAAATACAACTCTAATCTAGGGCAGCATGGTGGCGCAGTGGGTAGCACAATCACCTCACAGCAAGAAGGTCGCTGGTTCAAGCCCCAGCTAGTTCAGTTGCCATTTCTGTGTGCAGTTTGCATGTTCTTCACATGATTGTGTGGGTTTCCTCCGGGTGCTCTGGTTTCCCCCACAGTCCAAAGACATGCAGCAAGCTAAATTGTTCGTACTGTGTGTATGTGAATGAGCGTGTATGGGTGTTTCCTAGTGATGGGTTGCAGCTGGAAGGGTATTCACTGCGTTAAAAACATGTGCTTGATAAGTTGTTGGGTCATTACGCTGTGGTGACCCCTGATTAATAAAAGGGACTAAGCCGAAAAGAAAATAAATGAAAACAACTCTAATCTTCATTAAAACCAAATGTGTTAACCTTTTAATTCATTTCTTACAGATGACAACAAAACTTTGAATAAAAAATAAAAAAGAATAAAAAATTTTATTAAATAAATAAATTATACATATAAAAACAAGCAAAACTGCTAAAGTCATACTGTATATTTATATATTATTTAAATATTAGGGTTTGTATAATTTTACATGTTTAAGAAAGAAGTCGTTCAAAAAAATATCGTTCAAAAAAACTAAACAATACAATAAAATAATGCATCTGTGTGTGTGTTGGGGGCATAGTATTTTTTTATTTGAAATATTATTTCAAATAAAATTTTTATTTAAATATATGTATTTTTAAAATTTAGTCATTTCTACTATGGCAGTCATTGCTTCTTCATATTCATTTAATTCTTCAGAAATAATTTTAATATGCTTATTTGAAGTTTAAGAAATATTTACAACTGTACTGATTAATATTTTTACTACTGTAATAACTCCAATTGTACAATGTCAAAAATAACAGAATTTATATAAAATAAAAAAATATTTGGAAAATTAAGTTTTAAAAAATATATATATTTTTTTAAATATACAGTTGAGCTCAGAATTTTTCGCCCCCCTAAATTATTATCCCTGTTTACTTTTTCCCCCAATCTCTGTTTAACAGATGGGACATGTTTTTCAACACATTTCTAAACATAATAATTTTAATAACTCATTTCTAATAACTGATTATTTTATCTTGGCCCTGATGACAGTAAGTAATATTTTTACTTGATATTTTTCAAGACACTTCTGTACAGCTTAAAGTGACATTTAAAGGCTTAACTAGGTTAATTATGTTAACTAGGCAGTATTGTATAATGATAGTTTGTTCTGTAGACTATCAGAAATAATTAACTTAAAGGGACTAATAATTTTGACCTTATTTATTTTTTTTTTTTATTAAAAACTGCTTTTATTGTAGCTGAAATAAAACAAGTCAGGCTTTCTCCAGAAGAAACAATATTATCAGACATTTTGAAAATGTCCTTGCTTTTTTCATTTTTAAACTGAATAGATTTAATAACTCATATGTTTTGTCTTTGCCATACTGACAATACATAATATTTCACTAGTTATTTTGCAACATACTAGTATTAGTATTATAAGTCTTAACTAAGTTATTAGCTTAACAAGAGGGTTGGGGTAATTAGGCAAATTAATGCTTAACAGTGGTTTGTTCTGAAGAAAATGAAAAAAAAATATATATAATGTATTTACAAATATAACATAATAATAATATAATATAAAAATAAAATATAATATGTAAGGGAGCAAATAAAATTGACCTTATAATTGTCTTTAAAATTTTTAAAACTGCATTTCCTGCAGTCGAATTAAACTTTTTCCAGAAGAAACGATATTATAGGAAATACTGTGAAAATGTTCTTGATCTGTTAAACATGACCTGGGAAATTTTTGAAAAATAATAAAAAAAAAATCACAGGAGAGCTAATCATTTTGACTGTATATAAAAAAGGTAATGCAAATGAACTTCATTTGAAAGGCAGATCAACATTTAATTTGGTATTAAAATGGAAATATTTTCCCCTTCACAGTACTGAGGTCCCGTTTCAAATTTCCTTTGAATTATGGTTCAAACCTCATATTTAAATATGGTGTGAAGGCACATCATTCCAGGATTAATGCTGATGACCCCAAACATAACTGGCTGTCATGAGCAATTGCAACTCGCCAGTTTAAATGTGAATGAGATTTGAGAGCTCCAGCAAAGTGACGATTAGTAAATAAGGAACATTTTGATCTATTACTCTCCAAAAGCTATAATATTGATCATGTTTAAAGCTCTGAATATGACACATTACTTTATGAGGCTTTTTTGAAGCTTCACAACACTCTCACTATCACTTTCATTGGAATGATAAAAACAACAACAATATGACAAACAACAACATTAAACAATCTCTCTTTGTGTTCAAGGGACGAAAGACAGTTAATGCGTTTGAAACATAATAACGATAAGTAAATAATGAAAGATTGTGTAAACTATTGTTACCCATCCCCATTTTTATGTATAGGCTTACTGAATTTTAAACTATGGGTTGCACTTCTAAATCAAAAGAACTTCCATTCAAAATAACTGAAGCAATTTATTTCAATTTATAAGGTTGCTGTACACATACACATAGTGAAAACTGAGTGTGACGTACAGAGGTACACTTTATGCTTTACATTTATTCGCCATGAAACTAATAGTTTGGTAAAACTTTACAATAAGATTGCATTAGTTCCTGTTGGTTACAAACATAAACAAAGAACAGAAAATACATTTATTACAGTACTGTATTTCTACAGAATAGTTAAAGTCAGTGTTGGGTAATTTACTTAAAACATTAATAGATTACAAATTACTGACTACTACTGGATTTGTATTGTGAATTGTAATCTGATCACATTACTAATTACTTAATGTAAAAAGCAATCAGATTAGTAATTAAAGGGTCACGAAACACCAAAACACATTTTTTGAGCTGTTGACAGTCGTATATGTGTCCCACACTGCTAAAAACACTATTAAGACACCTATATTTTAAAAAGTGTAAATTGGTTGTTTTTGCGTTATTTCAAGCAAATTCGTACTTCCTGTTTGAAACTAATTTTTGAAGCTGCGTCACGGTCATGACATAATAGCCTGTATTCCAGCCTGCAGACTGGGCGTCTGTGCCAGAGTGAGTCTTATTACGTCTTACAGTGTGATGCATTAATGCATGAGTAAGGCTTGGTTCAAACCAATCAGCGCGCTCTATTGTGCAACTTCATTAATATTCATTACTGTGTTTACACGACAAAGACGCCACGTTGTGTTGGCAAAACAAGCGTGAAGTGTTGCTTTTATAGTTTGCTGCCGTTAAGTTTCATTTTCTTTTTCTCTCGGTGAGAGCTCAGACTCACGTGTGGATAAACAGTGTACGCGACGCTCGACAACAATAACTTACGTGTCTAAGGAGGATTATTGTTTACCTGAGAGCTGTTCTCATCTGCAAACGCTGAGATCTGGATTCGCTTGTAGTATTCTCTTCATAAAGACGCGGCTCTAGTTGCTGGTGATTGTCCTGTCTCTACAGATTTGGTATGTGAGCAACCAGTGCTCTTTGTTTATTCAGTTTGTTCGTATCAAACTAAGTTAACTATTGCACCGTAACATGTTAGGACCACAACCAAACTTTAACCTCGTGTAGGGTTTTTAACCGCATTTTGTGACCGGAATAACACACGCGGCTTTCTGACGCTACCTGCCGTGTGCATCTAAGTTTCCGGGAAATGCTGAGGTTTTTTTTTCTCTCATTCGCCGTGCGATATTAAACATTGCATGAAAAATACACGCTTAGAGCAGCTCCTCGAATCAAATATCTCGTTTGTCGCGAGGGGCATGAATGAATTCCCTGAATGAAAGAGCCAAACTGCAGTTAAAGTCCACCATTTAATAATTTGGCAAATAATTCCACTACAGATGTCCATGTAGGTTAAACACCATCACTTTCTCCTGTGTGTGAGTATTTTGACTGAAACTCGCGCGTGCCCAAATAGACACTCCCACACCCTCCCACTTTAGTTCCTCCGACACTCCCCCCTAAACAGAGCTGGACACGCCCACTTTTCTGACTTTTTCCAAAGTAGAGGTGTGAAAACACCCTGCTGGTTTCATGGCCCTTTAAATTACTTTGAAGTTACTTTTACTTAATAAACTGTACCTCTTTCAGTAATTTAATATTCACTCAAAAATAGTACAATGGGTTGATCACAGCAGCTTGACATATTCAAAAGAGGTTTGCCCAAAACTTAACATTCTCTCACCAGTCACTTATTCCACCTGTTTGTAGAAGAAGACTTGAAGAAAACCGGATACCTGTAACCATTGACATTCATAGTGTGCAAATGCTCTGCAGTGTTTGGGTGTTCTGTGTTTGTCTGAGGTAATTAGTCTACAGAAATGTGTATATTCAATACAAAGCATAAAGCTGATGGGTCAGTTGTTGTTGCATGACTCACAGGTTTTCAACTGGTGCGCCTGGAAATTGCGAGTATGCATTCAGCGCAAGCCGCGCACCTCCAGAGGAAATAGTGAACTTGCATGAGCAAAAGACGCGATATGTGAACCGCCCCTTAAGCATTTATGCTTCTCTTTACATTCAGGAGACACCTTCACGCCCGATCCTGCACAAAAATCCAGCTTAGGCTGTTTAGCTGCTGTGTTTTTAGGCACCGGTGTCCTCCTTGGAGACAGGTACTGTCATAGAGCTGCTTTCTATTCAAATGCTTGAACAAGTTGCTGGTTAAGTTAAAAGCAGTCGAAAGAACTTTAGAGACTGGATGTAGACTGCATTTCACAGCAATATTTTTGTTTTTATGAAAACAAAGTAATGTCTGTATTTCCAATCGAAGAAGCAGCCACTCTCGTCAGTAACCATTTCATCTTATGTTCTCCAGCAATTTAAAAGCACATGCTTATTTACTGACGTTGCAGTGGAAAATGTTATTTAAAAGAAGCAGTTTTTTTCTTCTAAAAACTATATTTGTAAGGTAAGTAATGCAATTACATTGACTTTAGTAACTGGGATTAAATTACACAAATTTTAAACGGAATTTGTTACATTACTGCGCTCCCCAAAAACGTAATAAGAATACAGAAACACATTAATGTGGAATCCCCAACTCTGGTTAAAGTTAGTTAATGAATGTTAACTTTAGTTGGTTTACTGTTAGTTCTTGTGAACAAGCACAACTTTGTATTTAATAACGCATTAGTAAATGTTGAACTATGATTAATAAATGCTCAACAAGTATTGTTCATTCTTAGATCATGTTAGTGAATACATGTACTAATGAAACCTTACTGTATTTTTAAAGGTTCACAAAACCCGAGTACTTTTTTGAGGTTTTAACAGATTTGTGTGTTGAGAATCATTTTGAGCGACGTAGCGCCAAACTGCAAGTGCAAAGATGGCCTGTCAGTTTCTCATTATTATTCATAGCGGAGTTTTCTTATCCTATGAAAAGAGCCTGCTTTTTAATTATTCATGACTGCGCGTGCTTTCCGAAGGCAAGGCAGACCTGCCAGAGCCAAGCTGTGAGACATGGACCCACACAGTATTTAGCTGTTCATGAAAGGTCGTATGTGTTTGTTTCCATGATCCATGTGATTTGTTGCATGTTTTTCCTCTCGATGCTGTCAGGGCCAACTAAGCTGTTTGTGTGCAGCAAGCATTTTTGTCGGGAGAATTGTACGAGAATTGGAGAATGGCAGACGTTGTCTTTTCTCAGTGGAGTTCGTTCACATTTAGACACATCACCCTGCTGCTGTGTTCGCCTAAATCCTATAGACTACCAGCAGGGCTAATGGTTATAATAGACAGGGCAAGAGACCTGCTGCACTGAGTCTGCATTCAGACCTGGGGGTTGAGGGAAAAGTTTTCATTTATAGAGTTTATATGAACACAATTATCTTCATAATGATAGAAATTGTGGTTATCTGTATATGAAATTACGAATAACAAATGTAGCAGGGCATTAAAATATTGTTTATTTGTTTGCATTTTAATTTTGTAAACTATAAAATCATGAGTCTCCTCACTGCAAAAAATGCTTTTCTTGCTTAGATTCTTTGTCTTGTTTCTAGTCTAAATATCTAACATTTTTTATATCAAGAAGCATTTTCTAGACAAGCAAAACATATTGCCTTGTTTTAGGAAATAATATGCCAATATTAAGTCAGTTTATCCTTAAAACAAGCACAATAATCTACCAATGGGGTAAGCAAAATAATCTTGTTTTTTCTTTTGACATAAGATTATTTTGCTTACCCCATTGGCAGATTATTCTGCTTGTTTTAAGGATAAACTGACTTAATATTGGCATAATATTTCTCAAAACAAGGCAATATCTTTTGCTTGTTTATAAAATTCTTCTCGATTTAGGAACTTTTAGATATTTGGACTAGAAACAAGACAAAAAATCTAAGTAAGAAAAGCATTTTTTGCAGTGCTCACGGCGTGTGTCTCATTTTGTGAGCTAACTGACAACAGTTGTTTGCTCCCCTCCTTCTCTCCTGCTGGCCACGCCCACTCCTGCCTTTTGCTCGAGGAGCTCCACGCCCACTATGATGCATCTTTTGAAAACATTCTGAGGTAGACCTGAACCGAAAAGTGGGGGGTGTCATGACCCTTTAAGTGTAACCCATAATTTTAAATGAAATTATGCTTGGCGTTTTAATGTGAAAGCAATATTTAACATGTCTGTAAAATTAATGGGAAATGAGTCTGAAGTTTCTGGGGTTATTCATGGCCTGCTAAAACTAATTTGTTAATTAACGTGTACTTTTAAGATGATTGTACCCCCCAGTAAAAAAAAAAAAAAAAAAAACACTTAACTGAGTTTTTAACCATTGAACAAAAGTTACTTTCATAATTTACATATAGCAACATGAGATGCAGGAATAAGTTGGATATAAGAAGAATGTTCACAGGTAACTTACATAGTCTAGCTCATCCTCTAGATCCTCCCTGTCCTTGCGTGTGTTGACCTGAGGGTAGACTTCATTAATGATTTGTGGTTGAACTGATGGCGTTTTCCCATTACAGTCCTGATGCTCTCCAACGCTTCCCAGACCCCCAGAGAAGCTCTTCTTGCGCTGGCGGGGGTGCAGAGGAGGCAGGGGTGGTCCTGGCACCTGTAGAAGCTCTGGGAGCTCCAGAGACAGAGCCCTGCGTTCCCTGCGTGGGGGAAAGTGTCTGGGGAGCAGAGGCGGATGGAGAGGCGGAGGTGGAGGAGACAGCAGGGATTCCTGCTCGGCGGGATGACAGTGAGGGCTACGGACTCGTAAACTGCCTCCACCCCCCATCCCCAGACATCTGGAGGACCGTCCCAAGCTGTTCCAACTCGACCTGCGGCTCCATATTCCTGGCCGTGCGGGGCGTCCCCAATTGTGGTAAAGAGATGCTCGTCCTGGACACTAATGCACAGAATGCAAATTGTGAGTCAATAAATAAAGCTGAACTTAAGTACACAGCAATGTGTTTTATCATGCCTAATTCAATGTTATGTGCTAGTCTGAAACTTTTATATTGCTTACGAATAAAATAAAACTAAATTATTTATTAAATTAAAATGAATTATTGTACATTTATTTGTGTGATGGCAATTAATATATAGTTGGGTTGTTACTTAGAAAAAAAAAACTTATTTTAAATTAAATTCTTAATCCAATTGTCACTCATTTTCCTCACTATCTTTTAATTTCTCTCTCCACTCATTTTCTAAAGAGATGAGTTCTGTTAAACTGTACAATTTTAGGGAACATCACCAAACTTACTTCAAAAAATGAGCTTGTGAAACCCTTTTGTTGGAAGTAATCATTATGGTGATTAGTGTTTCCTTATCGTATCAACCAATTAGAAGATTACTGTAATTTGTTTCAGCTAAAGTTCGAGTTTTTCCAAAAGTATAACTTAACTTTGGTGCAAACTTTAACACTTATTTTACTCTAAATAAATATTTATAAAAAATAAATAAATAAATAAATTACATTCACAAAGTAACAATACTGTTTACTAGATACCATTATGTATTTATTAATTTGTTTTAGTTACTTTACTTTGGTACAAGATCAAAGTATAGTATAATCTTGAAAAAGAAAATAATGTAATTTTTTACTGCTAATTTATAAATGTTCCGCAAATGTATAGTTTTGTCTTGGTAGAAACTAAAACTGTAATTTAATATTAACCAAAATATTTATTCTCCCTATTGCATATACTATCACAAGAATGGCATTATTTTCATGGTAAATAAATATAAAGCATAGAGAAAGAAAGAAGTGATATCCACTTAAAGGTAAAATATTATTTTATAGAGACCACAAACTGATAGTTCAACTTATTTATTTATGGAATTAAAACTTCACATTTGAATCAAGTAATGGCAGATGCCAAGCGCTTCTTGATGAGAAATGCCATGGTCAAATGACAAAAAACTGCGGGATTAAAGTAAAAATACTACTTTGAGAACTACAGGTTATAAAAATGTCATTTGAATGAAAGACATGGTAGTTTAACTTTTCTTTTCAGTGCAATGGTGGTATAAGAAATTACAGCTATTTAATTTAGCCACTTCAAATTGTACCACTAATGACAATAAACCTCCGACAACAGTAAAATATTAAACCTCACATTATATTTACTTTTTTAAAACATTTTATTTCAAATGGCTTTTTATAAGACAATTTTATTGCCTATTTCTTTATTACAATATTTTTGAAAACTAAGACTGCAAATAAAACGTTGAAAAGGCAGAAAAATATCAAGAAAAAGTTTAATTTGTTCAGGCCACAATACACTGAGTCACCACATTTAACAGTTTCAGCTGTAGAAAATAGAGGTTTTAAGTAGTCCATACTACTGTAAGTCAAGTACATTCTAATTAAAAGAAGAGCTTCACTAAATACTATTTATATGTAAAACAACATACTATTTTTGTTTTACGTGGAATTCAGAGGCAATCAAACAGCATTTTTAATGTTATCTAACTGTGATTTACAGTCTAATTAGCATCAAATATCCACAATTTTATATTCCATTTGTGGGTTGGTACTACACTACCTGACAAAGGTCTTGTCGTCTATCCAAGTTTTAGAAACAACAAATAATAACTTGACTCATAGTTGATCATTTGGTATCAGAAGTGGCTTATATGAAAGGTGAAAGGCAAAGGCCTCTAGATTATGCCCATTTTATTTATTTATTTTTTTAAATAAAATGTAATCATGCCTTGATTTTTAATTATTTATTTACTGTATTATATAAAGTCATGCTGTAGTGGGAAAAGAATGAATATTGTCTATGACTCCCATAAGTCTTGGAGGACTGCATTCAAACATCTCTGCAATGACTCAAAAAACTGAATAAACTTAATATAAAAATTAAAGTTAAATAATTAATAAAGTTATTAATAATTAATAATTCATTAATTATTTTATTTTAAAATAAAATAATTAATAAACTACTTACTTCAGACATGCTCAATAATGTTCATGTCTGGGAACTGGGCTGGCTAATCCTGGAGCACCTTGACCTTCTTTTCTTTCAGAAACTTTGATGTGGAGGCTGAAGTATGAAGAGGAGTGCTATATTTTGCAGTATTTCTAAGGATTGGGATTAAGTTCAACAGATGATTTATCAGAAAAATCGAACTTCTGCAACTTTTCCAAATGATCAACAAGAAGTCAAGTTGTTATGTGTTGCTCTTAAAACCGCGACAAGACTTTAGTGTATGCAGTCCAGTAAATTTTCTCTATTTTTGGTATTCTGCAGCATCCTCCAGAGTCCAAAACATCCCACACAATGCAATTTCATATTGAGAGTTACCTGATTTACATAATTCCTTGTAAATCTATCTACAGTAAAACAACAGACAGCGCATACAAATAAACCATGTTTTCAACTCATTCTTAGCAAGTTCCCCCTCACCATAAAACCCTTGAAAAAAGCCAACCGCATCACAAAAGCCTGTTATTATTTAAACCATTGTAAAAAAATAATTATGTAGTTTATAAGTTGCTCTCAGCTCTTGGAGTGCCCGCTCAACGACCCTCTGCGCGAATGCTAATATAGTGCTAGCTAGACAAGTAGAGACGGCTCTAAGTGCTGAGTAAGTGTCTTATTAATGGTTCGCTAAATGCTAATACATGCAGAGCTGATGGATAATTATTGTGTTCTTTGTGCTTTTTAAAGAGGTTTTGGATTGCTGGAGTGGTATGATATAGCTTTGGTGAGTTAAACCCTGTAATGAATGGCAGGTTGATGGAAGCATGCACAATAGGCTCACCAGCGTGGTTTGCTCCAGGCTAGCCCTGCCCAGAGAGCTAACGCTGCTCTTGCGCGAACCCAGGGCAAAGCTCAGCCTTTCAGATGGGTAAAAGCCCCTAGCATTGGGTGCAGGTGCTAAATCCAGATGCCCGTTAGGGGTCAACGTGGAAATCTTGGGATCTGCACAAACACACATGCCAAGACTCATTAGATCACAAAAACATCCAAAGAATTCAAAGTCTGAGAAGCACTAGGAAGCTTATTGGGGAGGATGGTGACTTGAAAAACCATTTGTTTTGTGTTTGTGGTGGGGAATTAATGAGTGTGATTCACCAGGCCTATTAAAGTTTCAAGCTTCTGTGTTTTCTGGTATCTCTTAACCCCACTTTCATGCCAGGCGACACTAGTGGGAGCATGTAAGTTTGTCTTGTGTCTGTGGAGAGCTGTAGTGTGTGTATGCATTATTCATAACATCAAGTCTCGGACCACAAAGTGCCATGATTCTTTCTCTCTCTCTCACCAAATATTCACATGCATCATTCACAGTTGCTTGTTAAGAAAGTTTTAAACTAAATGTAAACACGAGGATGCTTCAGCCAAAAATGAAAATTCTGTCATCACTTGTTCCAAACCTGAGTTTCTTTCTTCTGTTAAACATTGAAGAAGATATTTTGAAGAAATCTGAAAACTTCTAACCACTGACTTACATAGTACTTGTTTTTCCTACAATGGAAGTCAATGGTTACAGGTTTTCAGCTTTCTTTAAAATATCTTCTTCAGTGTTCAACAGGCTAAAGATACTCATAAAGGTTTGGAATCCGTCAACCTGATTTTTACCAAGCAGAGGCGGATTTAACCAATTAGTGCGGTTAGCAGCGCCTTAGTGCCCAAGGAAATCTGCAGGCCCCCAATCAAAATAATAAATAAGTATAAATTATTTCCTTGGCACAAATTTTTAAAAATGTGTCAAAACAAGCTAAATATATCTGTATACATACACATTTTATTTAGCAAAAACGTTCTTATGAAACAATTGAATCAATTGAATCAATTATTTAGAACTATACACAGTATAGTAGTTTGTCCAGATTTAAGGTCCCAGATCATCAGATAACTATAGATAAAAGAAGAGTTGATCTCTTAATAAAACAATGTTTTTGTAAAAGCGGATCAATAAAACATATTAACACAAAGTTCTAAGCAAAAGAAAGCAGATGAAAAACATTCTGTGTGCAATAATTAAAGGATGATCACGTGTACATGTTTAACGTTAGGCCGAATAATAATTCGTTCAAAGAATGGTAAAAGCAAAAGCGGCAACAGCTGCTGCTTACTAAAAACCTGGAAATTTCTTGAAATCATCAGAACTGTGGATGCACAAGCATAGTTTTTTCCAGTCTATTTCAAAAAGAAACGATCGCACCAGTTGCGATTCCAGTCGCGGTTGTTTTGCACAAGGAAACAGGAACTTTTAAGCACTTGTGCGCATCACATCAGCTGTGCCTCGCTTACAACATCAGTGACTGAGGAACGCCTCCCAACGCGCACCTGATCATCTTCACATTCAGTATTTACCTGCTTTCTTTTGCTCTGGCAAACAGTTCTAAATGGTGCTGCTTCTTGGTTCTAAGATTTGCATGCATATTTACAAACCGTCTTAAACAAAAATTTTGATCTTTATGGACGAGACAGCTCTGGCAATTTAAAAATTATTTTCAACCAGCCAAAGTGGCTAGTGGGAGTGACTGTCTAACACGCCACTAAAACCAAAGGGTGTTAATGTCAAGCTCTGCCTATAAACTATATATAAAACATTGTTTCCTATAATATTTTGTATAAGACGCAAACAAATAAAATTTGAATGCAATTAAATATTATGTAATTTAAAATAAAATAGAACAGTGCAGTCCAGCAGTTAAATTTATATATAAAAATAGATATTTATTATTTTTAGTTGTAAAATAATTTTAAGAAAACTATTCATTTAAAATGTAGAGATTACATTAAGATGGAACATAGATAAGAGATTTGAGTGATATAAAAAACAGCTAAATAAATAAAAATTAAATAAAATCAGAAAGGGTGCATTTTAAGACTGCTGGTTTTGGTTGGAATTGGTTGGAATTGCTTAGGACCCCAAATTACTAAATCCGCCCCTGAGGACATGTTCCTGGATTAACATATATGTTGATACTAGAACAATGTTCCAATTAGCCAATCAGAATTAAGTGATATGTTTACCGATAATGTTAAGTTTAGGCTTACAGTTCTACATGCGTGTTATCCCACTATTATTCTCCTTTGATTTTGGGAATAATTTACAGTTATGGTTGGGTTTAAACTTGATTCTTTGAGGGTTGCAGCTCTGCAAAGATTTGCTCCAACCATAATCAAACACAGCTGATTCAACTAAACAAGGTGTTCAAGACTACTAGAGACTACTAAGCAGGTGTGAGTCAGAAGTGGTTGGAGCTAAACTCTGCAGAGCTGTGGCCCTCCAGCAATTGAGTTTAAGATCATTGGTTTAGGGGCAGGGAATAGGTATGGATTAGCCTACATTTTCAAACAAAAAATATGTTTATCAACATACAGCAGATGTTAATCCAGGATTTTATCGTACTTAGCACAATCTTGATGTGCTTTAGTTAGAACCACTTAAGAAAGACTAAACAGTGAGTGATTTGCCTTTTTTTTTCAACTATCTCCTTAAGAACACTTCTTAAGTATGTCTTCAATTCAGTACCTGACAGCTGGAGAGAGTCCTTTTTCTCGGTTTCTTCTAAATTACAAGATGATCTGTCATCATCCGAGTAGGAACGGTTAGCATCGCCCTGTCCCAGAGAGAAATAAATTAAAACATACAGTTAGAAAAGTCAAAACAGCACAGGTCAGTTTGAGTTATGAAGTAAATCCACGTCAAATTTGCATGCACATATTTCAATTTGCAAAGACAAGAACAAACTTCAGCTGGATTTGGTTGTCATTTCCCCTTTTAGTGCTTAATCCAGTTTTGTACAGAGTTCAGTTATTTATTTGTGTGACAATTATATTCAACACCTGAACTGAAACCTGAAAAGGCAGCTAGTGACAAACTCCTTTATATATAAAAAAAAAAAAAAAAGCTCTACAAAGTTGGCAATGATATGTTTAAATGTGTGTGTCTCTTTTGTATGAATTGAGCGACAATATACAGTTAGTGTATACATTTTGACTCGATTTTGTCAGATATTGCTAGGAAAAAAAAACATCAAAAAATTAAAAAGCCTACAGTCAAATTTAACCTAAACTCTTTATCTTATAAACAAATAAGCCACATTCCAAATTATCACAATCAGCACTTTATTACTTTACACTCTCAGAAAAAAAGGTACATGGTGGTACAAATAATGTTCCTTAACGAACAGTTTTGTGTCTATATAAAAGCTGTACCTTATAAAGTACAGAAAAGACCTATTATGAAACTGTACTGTACCTTTTATGGTACAAAAATGAAGGTACATAAGTGTTGGACAACTCCTGTATTACAATATTTATGAAAAAATAGTGAAAAGGTAAAGCGATTTATGAATAATTTCCATATTAAAACATGAATCGATAGTAAAAAGCTTATGGGTTTGTACCTTCTTTGGTACAACATTGTATCATTTTTTTCTGAGTGTATTAACTTCATTAAATAGACTGTTTAAGCACAAAAAAAAGGGGTAGTTAACTCAAAAATGAAAATTATGCCATTATTTGTTTACCCTTGACTTGTTTCAAACCAGGGGTGTCTTTCTGAAAACCATTGTTAGCCAACTAAGATCCCAAGTACCGTCATTACATATTACATATACATTACATATTACATATCATTACATAGTGTGTTGATTTGGCGTTTCCCAAGTCCAACGATCCAAGAAACATTTGCAAACTGCTTGACAAACTTGTGCGCCTGCAGCTACACTTCTAGAGCTGTAGTAAGAAGCATAGTTTCTGGTTGTGTTCTATTCCCAGTTATCCCTATATGATTCTGAGTTTGGGTTTTATCAGTGACCAGAAGATTGAAAAAAAAATGAAAATACAAATGAAAACAACAGACTAACAGGTCCTTCATTCACTGACGCTTTCTGCAAAATTTACCTCGTCTTTTTCTGATGGATCTGATGGTTTCTGATGTTTTTTTTTTGTTTGTTATTTTTTGTCTTTTTCTTTTAAAAAAAAGTGCATAAACACACTGTATAACTAGACACCATAACTAAAATGCCATTAGATCCCTTAGTGATTATCACTGCAACCTCATTACATCAGAAACTCTTACTAATCATTAATTCTCCTTCGGTTTAGTTCCTTGTTTGAGTCACAACAGCAGAATGAACCACCAACTATTGCGGTTTTGCACAGCGGATGCCCTTCTAGCAGCAAGCCAGCACTGGGAAACACCCATACAATCTCAGATTCAAGCACACCAATTATGTTTACCAAATTTACTTATACCACATGTTATTGAACTGTGGGTGAAATCGGAGCACCCGGAAAAAAATCCACGTGAACATGGGGAGAACATGCAAACTCCACACAGAAAACTGACCCAACCGGGAGTCAAACCAGCAACGTTCTTGCTGTGAGGCGACAGTTCTTGCCACTGAACCACTGTGCCGACTCCAAACTCTTTCTATATGCACCAATTCTTTCAAATAATTAAGTTCTTATCGGGTCTTGTTTGAAAAAAGCACTTAAAATAAAAGCTTTTTTTTTTTTAAATGTTTAAAACACGAGGCCACCAATAGAGACTGTTGTTACTCCACCCTGTTTAGAGCATTATTATGCTTGTTTAACATTATAACCAACGTGTTTCAAATGATGGATCTGCAACAAAGCAAGTAAAATTTTGGAAAACACTAAATCATTCTTTTTCTTTTTTGCATCATGCTATGGTGGTTCAGTCGTGAGTTACATTGTTGTTTGGGAAACACATCCCAGTTTGAGTAAGACTAAACATTGTAACCAAACCAGTAACCATCCATAGGAGGAAAAAGAAATACTAAGGAAGTCAGTAGTTACCAGTTTACGACAATCTTTACAATGTCATATTTTGTAAAAAAAAAAACAACAACAACAAAAACAACAACTCAAAGTTGACGGTGAGTAAATGATGACATAATTTACATTTTTGTGTGAACTATATTTTTAATAAACATCATTTACAATAAGCAGACTTGGCAACACTTCGCGAAGTAACCATCTAAACATTAATGAAACATTTGTAGTAAAAAAATGCAGACCATATGAAATCTTTGCTCACTGTAATATTAGTGTCATTGTTTTGTTCCATACATAACTAAACTCGACAAACAAAAAGACCACAGAATGAGACAGAATATCTCTTCTAACTAAATAACTAAACAGCCCTAAGCATTGTTTAATAGATATGTCAATCTCGTTGCCCTCCCTCTAAAAGTCAGACACATTTGCTCTAGTTCCCCACTCACCCAAACACAGTTTCTCAGATCTAGACCATTACCTGCAGGCCCATTTCTACAAGCTCCCCGGAGAGATGACCTACTCCTGCAGTCTGCATACCTGCCCACGGAGCCCTATTTATACAAGTCTGCACATCGAAAATATATTCACCGGCAAGAGCAACAAAAGCCCCTGGAAAAATGCCCTGGGACAGTGTTAGCGATTTGAGCTATGACATGTTCTTGCTGTCATTTTGTTGCCAAACATCAGCACCAATTAGCCCCTATTACAAAAATAGGCACAGCCAACAGTTGCATTTCATGATAACTTATTGAAGTTATCTCAGAAAATGTGAAAGTTTAATATTGAGCGGGTACACCCACAAGTCATTCAAAGTTCCCACTTTATGCCAAATATCAAATTTCTTGAATTCCCCTGATTTTCACTGACTCAATAGCTGAATTTCCATGGCCTCTAATGAATTGAGAAACCGCTGATGAATAACAATATTAAAATGGTCATAACTGCTGAACTGATAATATATTACTTTAAGTACTTTAAGGTTTTCTCTCTCATAATTGATAGCTCAATAGTAGTTTTATAAACTTTATATTCATACATCTACTTTATAATACCCAGTCTTTGAAGCAGTCATTCTCAAGCCAAAGCTTATAAATGGTATATTATGCCTGCATCTTAGTTAACAGAACTGCTAAATTTGGTGACTGCAGTTGATGAGCATAAAAAGGAATAAAAAAAAATCTAAAAAATTAACCCATACCCAAAAGCAGAAATACAACAGGATTCTGTGTAAAACAAAATTATTCTAATTTTTTAATATAATTTAAATATATAATTTATATATAATTAAGTTAACTAGGCATGTTAGCGTAATTAGGCATGTAAGCGTAATTAGGCAAGTTTTTGTATAATGCTGGTTTGTTTTGTAGACAATTAAAAAATATAAATATATACCTGTTGCTTAAAGGGGCTAATAATTTTAACCTTAAAATGGTTTTAAAATATTAAAAAACTGCTTTTATTCTAGCTGAAATAAAACAAAAAAGACTTTCTCCAGAAAAGAAAATATTACCAGACCTACTGTGAAAACTTCCTTGGTCTGTTAAACATCATTTGGGAAACATTTAAAAAAGGAAAAAAAAATTAAATGGCAGCAAATAATTCTTACTTCAACTGTATAATGTCTGAATTTCGGTGTCTGGAATAGATCTTTTAAATTTTCATGATATTCCAGAAATTCCATGGCCGGTGGGAACCCTTGTTATTGGCCCTGTTCTATTGCAGATTGTTTTGTGCAGCAGCAAAACACAGATGCCCCTAGGTGTGTACCTTACCTCAGCCTGAAATCCTTCAACCAAGATGGCCACAAGCAGATTGAATAGAACGTAGTTTCCAAAAGTCATGAGCGCGACGAAATACAGGGCTGCCAGAGGCGAGGTGGAGGCCATGCCGTTATACAAAACCATGTTCCAGTCCTCTTGAGTTAAGATCTGCACACACACACAAATAAGTTGTAATCAAATAAGAAATTACACTTAAATGAAAGCAAATGGGTTCAAGTCAACCCTTGGTCAATTCATGTCTGAAAATTAGGCCTTAATTCACAATTTGAACCCAATAAATGTTGGCATTGTTGACATCTTGTATCCAATCATTGTTTAAGAAATAAAAAAGTATGATCAAGGAACTGGAATCAAGGAATTGCTGTTGTATCATGCCACACTGAAATTATGCGATACCAAAAAATAGTCCCCATATAGGTAACAGTGCAGCATAATATCATCTTACCTGCTGTAGTTCCTTGATTAATATGCTGGAATGAGAGGATAGTTCCTACACATTTTGACTTAGAGTTTACAACTTTAAATACGAAAATTATCTAAATTCCTTTTAACATTTTAAATGAGATGCTAATGGTCTAATCTGATTCAATGATTGATGCTAAGCTAAGCTAAAAGTCCTCCCCCCAGAGCCGGAGTACAGCTGAATGGATTGAAAGATGGTAAAACTCAACAGTTTAACTCCAGGGGACATATAAAATAAGACTGTTTTAGTCTTACTTTAAGTTAAGTATCCCTTTATGAGAGTGTATATATAACAAGTTTTCTGTTACATTTTGCCCATTTTTTGTGTGTGTAGTATTGTGTAAATGTCTAGACATCTCAACTCTGTAGAGAAAATCCAGGTGTGTGTGTGTGCGTGTGATTAAAATTTGTTTTCACCCAACTCCCAGCTGGCCTGTGTTGGCATCACCTGCAGCAGTGCTTTTATAAGTGAGATGAGTTTTGAGAGCACTACGCACCTGAAACACTGTAACAATGGCCCAAAGCAGAGAGTCAAAGTTCTTCCTGTCAGGTACGGTGTCCCCAGCCTCTGTCTTCAGGCTGAACTTGCAGCCAAATATGTGCATTCCCAGAATACTGCAGAAGCAAAAAGAGAAAAAAAAAAAAACAATCTCTCAATGCTGCTCTCACGCTTAGATATTCTGATAGCGTATGTTTCCCATCGACCTCAACAGGATGTGAGATGAATGAGTCTGTCAGAGATGAGGAGCCTATAAAAATGATATCAGTGCTGTGTGGGGAGACATATGTCCTGGTTGGACAGAAGCCAGGGATGAGACCAGTCTTGCTGAAGAGACGCTTTACACAATTCAGAATGCAACACATAGCAGGAGATAAATGAGCCTGTTGTGATACTTAAAAAAAAAAAAAAAAACATAGCATCAGTGCTGGCGGTAACAAGTTACAAATGGGAGGCTTTACATAATCAGATTCCTATTTCCAGTAATTCATAAAATAACTTTATTTTTTTAAGATAATATCAGAACTATCACCAAGTTAAAACTCTTTTTGGGGCAGTGCGAGCTCTTTAAGCGACCATTGGAAAGGACTTGTCATCATTTTCTCACCTCTGACTTGTTCAAATGCAGTTTAAGTTTTTTGCTCTGATGAAAAAGATTTTTTGAAGGATGCTGTAAAATGGTAACCCTTGACTTAGACTAGGTTTCTCCTAACATGCATGTCAATGGTTAACGTCTTTCAACATTTTTCAAAATATCTAACTTTGTCTTCAAAAGGAAATAAAAAAAACTTAAACTTGTTTGGAACATGTTAAGGGTCATTAAATGATGACTAAATTTTTATTTTGGGGTGAACTATCATGAAACATTGTAGTATGAGAGTATGATGGGTCTTTGTACAATAATTCTAGTCTATTGGCTGCACCCTGTGACAAGAAATGTATAGTTCTTGAACATATACAGTTAAATTAAGAATTATTAGCACCCCTGAATTATGAGTCCCTCTACCCCCCCCCCCCCCTTAATTTCTGTTTAATGTAGAGAAGATTTTTTTCAACACATTTCTAAACATAATAGTTTTATTAACTCATTTTGAATAACTGATTTATTTTATCTTTGCCATGATGACAGTAATTAATATTTTACAATATTCTCAAGACACTTCTATGGGGAACAGGCTATATTTTTTTCTGACAAATTGTTATAAATAAAATTCAAACAATTTATACTTTGGGGCTGCTATGAGATCATTAAATTAAGCTTTTTTTCTTTTATTTATTTATTTTTTTCATCGCATTGCCTAAAGAAAAATTTGTTGGCGCAGTAGGTAGTGCTGTTGCCTCACAGCAAGAAGGTCGCTGGTTCGAGCCTCAGCTGGGTCAGTTGGCGTTTCTGTGTGGAGTTTATCCTCTGGGTGCTCCGGTTTCCCCCACAGTCCAAAGACATGTGGTACATGTGAAATGAGTAGACTAAGATTGTCCGTAGTGTATGAGTGTGGACGAGTGTGTATGGATGTTTCCCAGAGATAGGTTGTGGCTGGAAGGGCATGCGCTGCATAAAACATGTGCTGGATAAGTTGGTAGCTCATTCCGTCGTGGCGACCCTGGATTAATAAAGGGACTAAGTAGAAAAGAAAATGAATGAATGAATGATTTTCTTTTATTTTGTATTTTTCAAACACAGAAAAATATGCCGTAGACAATAAGCATTATAGCCAAGTGCATAGATATAAATGTAATAACCAATATACAGGTTGTTAAATAATAGTATTAATTATAGTGCAAGCAATAACAATAGTTTCAATACAAAAGGAAAAACTGAAGTGTAATGACAAGGACATACTAAAACAAATAAAATTAATAAGGTAAAATAAATTAATATATATACAAATACACATACACACATAAATACATATACATAAAACACATTTCCAAATCAAAAAAGCAATAAATCAAATCTGTATTTACTGTAGGGTTATTTTTATTTTTTAAATATGCCATTAAATTATTCTTGCTCTAAATTTGCTTCAAAGGATTTGTTTAGTATTTACTGTTAATCTAAAATATAATGTGTTAGTTGCCTACTGTAAATCAGTGTAAAATATGTTTTTGTTTTTTAACTGTCTGCTCAAACAGACAGTCAAACTTGAGAAGAAAATAAAACAAGAAAGTGTATTAATTAGTCTCTATTGCAAATATAGTCATAGCTAACAGATACTTTTCATGATAACTTATTCAAATTAACCCAATAAGTGTGAAAGTTAAGTGAAAGTGTGAAAGTGTGAAAGAGCAGGTACATTAACAAGCTATTCAGGGTTCTCACTTTCCAATACAATTCCCTTACTTTCCCTTAAAACAGTCTGCTGCTGTGCTTATCTATTAATAATATGACATTAAAATTATGTTTTAAATCATAACAATATTACAATGGCCATCGTTTGAACTGCCAATTTAAAAACAACAAATGATTATTTATTACTTTGTTTCAAGAGTTCACACTTAGATATTGCTTGATGCTATTAGCAGGTTTGGCATGCTGTCCTGGGAGAAAACCCTGAGCTTAGAGATAATTTATCCCAGGGCTCTCGCCTGGTCAATTAGCATGTAAGGGAGTCCGTGATCAGGTAGGTCTGGAGAGCTCCCCCTGATAAAGGAAGAAAAGGAGGAGATGGGGTGGAAGGGGGGATTCTTTCAAACTGAAGATAAGGCAGTAGGGCGAAATCAGTCTATGTATTGCAGGCTTGGATCAATCTGGGGTGTGTCCCAAACATAATGTAAAACGCTCATAATGATGCTCTGAACGGGGTGGAGTAACAACTTCTTTAGAGGAAAAACCCCATAATTTCTTTGTGCAAATTGTATTGTTTTACACGCACATACATTTAAAATAAATTCCAGTATTAGTTTTGGTAAAAACATGCACTCATTTTCCATATTAATTGAAATATATTTAAAGAGCACATGTTAAAGCCTATGTTTCCTTTACAAATACTATTGAGAATATTACATATTCTATTCTCAAACACAAAATCACTTACAAAAGCTAAGATGTATTCTAATATCATATATGAATCATATAAAGAAATAAATAATAAGGTTATTCATTGAGAAATAAAACATAATATTTATTAGCAAATTAAAAAAATCCTAAATTAATAATATTAATGGTGATGACAATGACGATTATTTGTATTATTATTATTTGTTATAATAATAATAATTATTATTATTATTATTATTATTATTGTTATTAAGTAGGATATTATTTATTTTTTAACTTTTGTAAAGTCTACTTTTACAATTTGACACATGCAAATCACTGCAGAAATGTTCTAACCAACAGGCCCATGTCATAAACACTACTGACACTTGACAAATAACCTGCTATCAATTAAAAGCATTAAAGTATGCTTTTTGTTTTCACAAGCTTTGGAGACATAACGAAAATTCCAGTTTTAAATAATAGGTCACCTATGGCTTTCGTCATGAGCTGTGTTCAAAATGACATCAATGTTTTCAAAGTGCACTGTGAAGGGAGCGCAATTGTAAACATGAAGATTGCTTAAAAAAAAAAAACTTAACTGTAAAAATACTTTGAATTACACCCACGAGTGATGACTTAAAATAATTCCAAGTTTAAATGTTAGAATGTTCTAAATAAATAGTTGGGATAACTGGGAATAGAACAAAGCCAGGAACTATGCTTCTAACTACAGCTCCAGAGGTGTAGTTGCCAGCATGCAAGTTTTTCGATGAAGTTTGTAAATGTTCGTTGGAACGACAGATTTAGAAAACGCCAAATCAACGAACTAGGTTTGTAATGACGAAACTTGCAATGTGAGTTGGCTAATAATGATTTTCGGAAACACAGCCCTGATTGGATTATTGCTGACTACGGATGGTAGACAAAAATTAGTTTATAAAACTAAAATAACTAAAAAGTTCTTTTTTTATAAATATGAAAAAACAACAACATTCAACAGCAGCATCCCATAAAACCCCTGACAAACTAGAGTGAAACAAACTCATTTGCGTTTAACAGTCCTCGATGCAGCAGAGCGATGATGAAGCTGATTAATAATTGGCACAACTATAGCTTCCAGTCTGTGATGCTGATTCATCCTCTGCGTTTCCTCCAACCATACGTCATCCCAGACATCTGCTAACAGTTACCATAGCCTGTTGACTGTACCCGCAGGCTGGGGACAAACTCTATCCATTTAAGAGACATAAATCAGGGCATTGTTTTCAGATGAGGGGTTATAAATTGAGATGCTTGGTGGGGGTGGGGAGGGGATACGCTGAAAGCTGAACGTGAGTGGGAAAAGACGGATCGGCAGGATTGGTTCATGCACTCTATCCTGCAGCAGCCTCCATCTGTCTCTGCACTCTGCTGGAATTGCAGCGCTGCAGGGGGAAGCGGGTGAGTCAGTGGGCACCAGGGGCCTGAGTGTTATTGTTCTGCTCTCCATCAATCTCACTCTGATCCTTATGGGGCTGTCAGTGGCTGCTGAAGCTGAGGTGTGCTGTGAGGAGCCTGTGCTGCTGAGACGCTGGGCCGCGGAGAGCCAGAGTGATCCAGCTGCTGTCAGGTGTGACTTTTATAAACCCTAGGCTTGTGCTGGGTGATAAAGCGTGGGGCATTTATTATAAATGAGTGAGAGCTTGGATATGGATTGATACTGTGGATGGATTTACACTGCAAAGTTTATTGCACAAATCATATTTTGCTGATCATATTCGATTTTTTGTGCCATTTACATTCGACTAAAATACGACTGGCTGGAGATTAAAGTGCTTACTTTAATCTTCGCAAATATTAAAGAATAAGATCAGTGATTCTGTTGGCTATCAATTTTTGTGAGGTATGAATGCCTGTGAGACTTTCGCTCATCTTCAGAACGCAATTAAAGATTTTTTATGTGAAATCTGAGAGCTCCTTCATCCTCCAGAAAAGTTCCAGACTCTTTCAAACTACAGATGTATACCAAACATCACCCTCAAAACAGACCATATGACTTCAACTGCAATATTATTAAACTACAAATATACTTTTGTGCACACCTAAAAACTAAATATTGACTTTATTTATCAGATTATTCTTCTCAGTGTCAGTATAGGGAGCACATCCACGTGAATGCACCTCTGACACATTATTTGGATGCCTGTATGTGACTTCCTTTTCTTGAAACAAAGCTCAGAGCCATCAGAAGTAATACAATAGAGGTGAATGTCATGTGTGTGCCCCCTATACTGACACTGAGGAGAAGAAACTGCTGAATAAAGTCATTCTTTTTGTTTTATGTACGCACAAAAGCATTCTTGCATCTTGAGGATTATGGAGGATGAGGGAGCTCTCAGACTTCACGTAAAATGTCTTAATTCCCAGTAGACACAGGACATCAGTAACTTTGTTAGTACCTTTGTACCCCAACGTCGTGGAGACCTTACATTTTGTTAATAATTTAATAAATAATTGTCAATAATTTGACGTCAATATGACTTTGGTTTAGGATATTGGCTCGACATTGGATTTACCAAAACAACCTAAAATCAACGAAAATATCAACGTCATTTCACATCATTATTGGACGTCATTTCACATCGTTATTGGACGTCAAAATATACACTGGCTAGACAATGAATTTTAATCTAACCTAATATCAATGTCTTATTAAATTGTGTGCTGGGTTTCTGTTCCGAAGACTATAAAAGGTCTTATAGGTTCAAAATTACACAAGGGTGAGTAATTAATAACACCATTTTTCACTTAATTTTGAGTTTGTTACAGGCCATTCAAAAATATACTAAAATAGCCCTGAATAAAGCAGACTTCATGACATTTTGAACATATATTTAGTTCCAATTGTGCTTTAATAAATCTTTTACAGAAAAAGATAGTATAAAACAACCAGAAATCAAAGCAACATTAACTATAAACAACATTTAATATAACTGTCAAGCCTAAGCGAATTTAATTAAAGTGAAACATGTAAAAACAAATGAAATAGTCGAAATGTGTGAAATGTGTAATGTAAATACTCGCAAGTCTCTCTTGCACTGAAAAATGTAAATGTGTTTCCGCATTTTGGTGTTTAGCTTAAAATGAATTGCATTTTATAAGGTGCTTTAGAACTTCAGCTGCAGCATGTGTCAGATCAAACTCATATTATACAGACTATAAAAAACAAAAACGTTTTTAGCAGTTGCACAGTGATTACTTGTTCAACATACAGTAAGCAGCTACATAGGCAGCATGTGACGGCCCTGATCTTTTAGCAAATGCATTTTGTCCCATCTGTTGCACTTAAGACACTCCATATTGTATCTGCATTTTTTTTATCTGTGTTTACAATAATACCCATCCAAAGCAAATGATTCCATATGTGATCATTTTCAACTGCCTGACCATTTATTGAACTGTTTATAGAATTTACGTTAATCCACAGACAATGTGAGTATTTCATTTGTTGAATGGTTATGTGCCAGTATGTTCATGTTAAAGCTGTCACTGTCCCATTTCCAGTATGAAATGTGATTAAAAAGACTAAGCAATGGTAACTTTTTTTTTTGTACTCGCAGCGTAGTAAGTTTCCAATTTGGTAAAAATGAAAATTGACTGTACATGTAATAAAATTACTTGCACCTCAGCATATGCGTTTCCACAGTGAAGTACTTCACATACTAAAATGTTATCACCTTCTAGCTGAAAATATATAATGTACAGTACAGCAGCTTTAGGCACTGAAGCTATTTTATTTACAAAGTGTAGTGGGTCCTGAAGAAGATTTTATTCTCTCTGTATGAAGTATTTTCTAAGTGTAAAGCAGTTAATTTTCTCTTCACAAAATGTATGTAGTGTTTGCAGCAAACATGCCAGCATGTGTTAAAAATACTGTGTAAGATGAGTATGCCTGCACAGGAACAACACTAGGAGAAGGCTAAGTGACTGATTGTGTAGAATAACTGAATATGTAAAGCACTGATTATATATGTTAAATACTTGTATGAAGCTATATGTGTTAGAAGTTAGAATAAGTAACATATTATCAAGTCATTATCCTATCATAACAATGTATGTAAACACTTAGTTCCTTTGCATAAGTTGCATCTATACTTTGCTGACATAGACCTGTAACATCTCTGTTGACATGAGCTACTGTAGTGGGCTGAGAGCCAAGAATAGCAGGACCCCTTAGACTAGAAAACCTATTCAAAAACGGTCAAAAGTTAAAAAGAGACACAAAGGGGTGTGTCATAATTACCTTTATAAAGATTTTGGAGAACACAGATACTTCAGAAGGTGTCCAGGAGAGACTTCAGAATGCTCTGGGGTCTGCTCTGCTCTTTCTCGGCTTTATTATGAAGAATAAAGTCTATTTTCTGATATTCAAAACCTCTGGTCTGATAATTTCTAATTGATAAGAAGTCTAAATTTACGACAGTCCAAATAAGTTTCTATGTGTGTGCTTCAAAGTTTCTGCATTATTAAAGTTAAGCTGTAAGCACATACAGCCAGGTTTGTGTCAATATATTATTAAGAAATGTGTGGGTAAATGCGTCTCTTTCTTTGTTGTGTCTTAGAAATCCAATAAGAATCTTAAAATGCCTGTTTAGATGCATGTCAGATTCCAAATTATGAATATATATAAGAAGGAAAGAAAGAAAGAAAGAAAGAAAGAAAGAACTCAAATCTATTTCTTTTTACACACACAATACTGTAACAATATCCCATTTAATCACAATATGTTATCATTTTTTCGTTTACTCATATGCAGCATCATTCAATGTGTGTGATGCAAGCAAAAAATATTTTTTTATTGTCTCAGTGATTGCGCAAATGATTGCGTGATTGCAAAGCACATGTTAAAAAAACAAACAAAAAAAAAAAAAATGATGATATATGGCTAACCTACCTGAATATAAAGATGAAGAGCATTAGCAGCATGCAGAACGTGGCCACATTGTCCATGGTCTTCATCAGGACCACCAGCTGCCTGCGCAGAGCTGGCATGAACCGCACCAGCTTTATCACCCTCAGCAATCTGAACGTCCTCAGGACTGACAGACCTCCGTCAGACTGACCAATGATCTCACATACACTAAACACATGAACACAAACAAAAACGGTTTGAATAAATGGTAGGAAAAACAACATGCAATGCAAGTGTTTCTTTAACTAAGGCCGTAATCACACTATGTACAGTTGCCTCGAACCGGGCCAAAGCACGCTTGTCCCCCCTCCCGTCTCCCCCGATGGCCCGCACTTATACTACAATCGGGCTTGGGTACGCTTACGTCATCGATGCTGCGCTGTTCAGTGAGCACAGCGAAGCGAAGATTGCTCTAGTTGTATCGTTTCAGTCGTTTGATATGCAGTAAAATATTTCGCCAAACAGTCCTTAGGGATGTGGTGACACGCAGTCAGATATTTTGCCTGAACAGATCCGCCACTTTTGGCGCTCATAAACAATCATAAAGCCCTCGTGCTGCAGGAATGAGGTTTGCAGATGGTGAATTCATTATATTTATTTTTCAGTGTCCTGTTGTTTAATGTAAAATGTATGGGGGAAATCTCTAAATTTCTTTTTTTTATATACTATATTATTATTTCTCTTTTTTAAAGGAAAAAAAATAAAAAAATATTTGTATAATAAATAATATAAAATAAATAATAAATAGTATTTGTCTATTTGTAGTTTGAAAGAAAAAGCAATCCTCTCCATATTTTGAACATTAGATACAATATCCAACCATTCAGATTGTGTAGGGGGTTCGAGTTGTAGCCACTTTGAAATTTATCAATTTCTAACTCCAAATTAGGGATTTTGTCAATGTAAAATCCAACAGCAATAGTTATGACTTTATTCATTTCACAGACATGGACGTTTAATCTTAAATTAAGAAAATGCATCATAAAATATTAATAATTATATATTTTTTTTGTTTAAAACTATATTAAGTTTGAAATAAATATGATATTATAAACAAATTAAACCCAGATTATTTAAATACTTATTATGTGTAAAAACTGTCTCATCTCCACTACACCAAAAAAGTTGCTAGTTTTTGCTGAAGTGTACTTTAATACCAATTGCATTTTGACAAGTAAACAGCTTAAAGGGGCTAATAATTTTGACCTTAAAATGCTTTTTTTTTTTAATTAAAATTTTATTCTTGCCAAAATAAAACAAATAAGACTTTCCCCAGAAGAAAAAAAATATATTATTAGACATACTAAAAAAAAAAAAAAAAAAAAAAAAAAAAAACATTCAAAGGGGGGCTAATAATTCTGATTCTGATATATATATATATATATATATATATATATCTACACACACACACACACACACATACACACACACAAACATATTTACATCCAAATCAGTAATTTAATTCCAAAAATATTTAATAGTTTCCACAAGTGAATGCTACTTAATTATATTATTTTGAGTAGTGATAGAAACTGGTGAGTAGATACCTTCAATAGATAAAAAACCAATAACAGACACTATATGGTGATAATCTATATATCATATGCATTACTAAAACTGCAAAACTTGTTTTAAGAGAGTTTATTGCTATGAGTGTCCACAGGACTAAAAGTGACCACAGTTAAAACAGCATTCAGTGAGCATGCTGCATTCTAATTTGCTTCAATATATGATTTATAAACTAATGAATGAAATCAACTAATTACAACATAATGCATAATACCCATAACACATTTTTTGAAAGTCCTTTTACAGAGATACAAATGAATCCACTGACCTGATGATCACAATGATGCCGTCAAAGATGTTGTAAGGGTTTCTCAGATATTCAAAGAAGCCAAAGGCAGTGAGCTTGAGGATCATCTCCAGAGTGAACATACTGGTGAACACTATGTTACAGATCTCCAGGACATTAGTCAGTTCATCAGGCTGTAGACAGAGACAGACACACACACACACACAGCAGGCATTGAGTACAAGCGAGAGGATAAAAAAAGAAGATAAAAGTAGAGGTAAATGTGGAGAGGTCATTTCAGATCAGTGCATTGCTGTTGAAGAGAGTGTGTGCATTGTTGCATGGACAAGAGCAGCTCTTGACAGCAGGCACACGAGTTCCACAGTGAGGCCTTAACCTCTCATATCATATAAAAGGTCAGAGAAAACCCAGTTTAAACCTGAACAATTCCTCGCGGAACATCAGTTAGAAAAAGATCAAGGGTGATGCGAGTACACTGATACTGTGTGTGCATTGCAAATACTGCAGGTCTGACTGACATGCAGAGCGGATGATCGAAGATCATTTTGTTTTTCGTGGGTTGTTTAGGAGTCAGCGACCTGAAACAGATTATAACACAAAATGTTGCAGAAAGAAAAATGAAGCCTCTGTCAACGATTGAACTGAAAACACCATAAAAATTATGAAAAACAAAAAACAAAACACGATTTCCATTCTAACATAGGTACATGTATTGGACTCAAATTAAATAAGACTGATATATAAAACAGACATACATAGCACTTTTGAAAATGATGGGGTTGCTTACTGATTGTCAAGTGTTAGTTGACCCCCCCCCCCCCCCCCCCCCACCTCCATTAACAATTGATCCATCCTTAAGGAGGTCAAAACAAGATGTATGGGGGGGGGAATCTGTATTTTAAATAAAAATGCTAATATTTAAAATAATTTATAATGTAAATATACAATTGACCACCCCTATAAAGGTTCAAACCTTGTTAATGCATAATTACACCAGTCTTTGAGAAAAAGTCTAAAAGTGGCAGATCTAGAGCATTAATAGACATTGTGTTCACAACACTTTTTTTTTAAATAGGTGTTTGTATCTATATTTATATATAAATATCGCTCAAAATGCTGAAAACTTAAATACGTGTTATTAATAAACTAGATGTTATTAAAAAAAATAAATACATAAATGACTAAAGCATGTATATACAAACTAACCGAAACAGTTGACTCCCCCCCGATCATCAATGTATAATTCGCACACTGATAACCATACATAGGTATTTTTAACTCATCCTGTTACCATGCTTTGCTTCCAGACAGACCGATAATAAGCAGTGTGCTCATGTACACTGTGTAAAACCAGCCATTTATACTGCAGCCAGTGATTTAACACGGCACTTTCCATTTCCGTGTGCACTAAGCAACAGAATATCAGTGAATGGACGGTGGGTGGTCCGACCGTTGAAGGCTGAAACTAGTGCAAGATCTACTGCTCTTAGAAAGGGATCAACAGACCACCCTCAACAGCTTCAGTCCACAATAAATCGCATAAATCCATTCCACCTTATCTCGACCGATAACACATGGCATGTTCACGTGCGCAAGTGAGAAAGCAGCCAAATTCCAGAGAGGCGAGATCTGATTTAAGGAACACTTCCTTCGCTGTCCCTTTTGTTCCTTGTCCCTCCATTCTATTATTGATCAATATCTTCCCATTGACGAGTTAGAGCTGAGAAAACACAACTGAAGGACGAATGAAAACCAAACCGCAAGCAGCTCCAGGGAGATGCCATTTAGAGAAATTGAATATTGACACAGCAATCAGGAGTAATAATGGCAAAACAATACGGTAAAAAACACCAATAGCTTCTCTTACCTCTTTCCATTTTTATCACTTTTCCCCTTGTCCTTGCATACTGTAAACCACTCTTTAATCAATCCATCAGTGATCCTCTCATTATAAAAGCTATTTGTACAAGATTTAAGCTGTTTTTGTAAACTGGGAATAAATTGTCACCACAATTCGACAGAGCTGATACAATCATACCTATACTGTAAATAATGTCTATAAATTAAAAGTTTGCAGTTTTGCATCCTTGTTCTAGTTTATTCATGCTTTTGAATTGCATTATGGAACCCTGATCCTTCCTTTAACTACTTTTAATGTTGAAAGTATGAAAAATTACTTGGCATTTTTATTATTTTGATATATTGATATTCATTGATGTATAGATCGGTGTTATATATGACGACACAAAACATTTGGAATAAAATAAAAATTGCGAGTACTTTTCCTATTTTTTTTTACAAACAAGTTCTTATTTATGTTCGTTTTTACACAATATAATGTTTAGAGCTAATAAAATGTCAACCACAGTCAAATTGTTAAACTGCGACATTAAAGTCAACATTAAACATCAACATTAAAGTCGACAAAACAGAGGTCAGGATAACGTAAACAAAAGAAAAAAAAAAACACCTGTTACCCATAAAATACAGAAACTATTATTTAACACATTTTTGTTACAGTGTACCCTATTTGTGGTTCAATATAATAATTATTTTTGATTCCTAAATAGAAACATTTTATTTTTAAATCTCACAGCCTGTCCTGTAACAACACGCAAGATTCCAGCAACAGATTCCAACACAACAGGAATATTTAAATATCAGCCTTTAAGAAGGATACTACAATAATAGTACAGCAGGTTTATAATCTATTTAATGAACATTAAGCTTATTTACCATCATAAAAAGTACATGCTGAGTGACTGATGTTGTTGGTTTTCACTGAGTTACAGCTCTAACGTTCATGTTTACACTTTATGTTTGCTAGTTCCTTTATTTTTGAGATCTGAGGTAAAGTTTCTAATGCCGGTTTCAGTTTGGCAGTTAATGTCACATAAATGTTATTCAAACTCATATTGGCAGCAGTTAACACTGAATAAAGCACATACTCTGCATCTGAGGTGATCATTAGCTATGTTTCCATCCACATATTTTTATGCGCATTTTGGATATGTGCATAAAAAACAGTTGATGGAAACGCCAAGATGCGCATCAATTTTAAAAATGTACATTGTATGCGCATCACTGAGTAGGATCAACGTTTTATTCGATAAGAAAGGATGCACATACCTATGAAAGAAACACTTTCACCAAATAATTTCCAGCACGCGAATAAAAAAAAAGTGATGTGGTTATGTTGTAAGAGATCATGTGATAATAAAAATGTGTGTGTATTGACAAACCAGCATCCTGAACACATTGTAAACCATCTGAATTGTTGTTTTCGTCATTCTAAAATAGCAGGATTAGTGTTATTATATTATTAATTATCTCCAGAATTGTCAAGAGAATCTGTGCTCCGCGTCTAATGCCTTTAAACACCACCACACGCTTATTGCATGTCGGCAATTGTCTTCTGAGGCGCAAGTCATTTATTAAATGAAGAAAAGATTCACGCAGCTTCTCCTACTGCAGCAAACTCCATGTTTACTGTTGATACTTGTTGCTAGTTAATCAGAAAGTCTATCAATTTAGTTCTCTTTGACTCATCACTGCTTTATTCGCACGTCTTAATTACCTTATTCTAGTTATGTGCATAAATTGAATTTGCATCTTTGAATGGAAACATAGCTAATGTCATAGGGGTTTATGCTTATGCTGTTGTTTTATCACAGAAATAGAAACCGCTTTCAAAGTAATAACTTTGTGGATGGTTAGGGCAAAAACTGTTTAAAATGGAAAATATTTATTTTTTGTGTGTCACAGGATTGCACGTAGTCAGGACACAGTGTCTCTGTGAAAACACATTTTAATAATCGAAAGAACCTTTTGCTGCTGTAAAGAACATTTTTTATGGTACTGTAAGGTACCATAAATGTTACCGCTTTTCATGGAACTATCAATAGCAATAAAAAAGATTTATATCCAGCCAGTAGTTGATTATTGTGACAATTTTACAGAAACAAGAAAGAAAAAAACAATGGTTACCAAAGCTGTGTGTTTTAGACTGACTGCTTTGTTTAAAAGAAGATACATAAATAAAATAAAAATCATTAAAGCATAGTTTTTGGGCACAGTGGTTATCGATGTCGCCTCAAAGCAAGAAGGTTGCTGGGGTCAGTGTAGAGTTTGCATGTTCTCCCCGTGTTCATGTGGGTTTCTTCCAGGGGCTCCAGTTTCCCCCACAAGTCCAAAGACATGCACTATAGGTGAATTGGGTAAGCTAAATTGTCCGTATGCATGTCCTGGTATGTCCTGGTCCTTCAGGTCGGGGGTTGAGCATTGGGCTAATGACCCACCTCGTAAAAACTCGATGTTAACAAACACCAACATGGTGAGCATAAATATCAGTGAGTAAGTTAGGCCCAATCCTAATTTTATTTTTGTACCCCTACCCCTTTTCCTTGGCCCTTAAAACCAAGTGTGAAGGGAAAGGGCTTAAAAATGTAACCCTAAGAAATGGGACAGCACTACAGTACCTGCACACGTCATCATATGTCATTACGATCTCATTCTTTCTGATGTAATTAACGATTGTGACTGCTGTAGTTATTTTAGTGGTGCTATTTTTTTTTTATCTTCAGGAAATCACTGAAGGCATATATTATGCTATCATAACAATCTAATGTGGCAATAAAATTGTAACTATACTGTGCATTTACACTGTGGCCATACTCATATGTGTAAACACAAGAAAACAACATTAACATTACAGCAGACGCTTTAAACAGCTCATTCCCAGCCACTAGACTTTTCTGACAGGGGATTCAAGTGTCATAATGTTGTGGGAGTACTATACAGGAGTTGTTATTATTAGGGTTTATAGATAGCAAAATTCAGTGATTTTTATTTTAGAGCAGGGGTCACCAAACTTGTTCCTGGAGGGTAGGTGCCCTACAGATTTTAGCTCCAACTCTAATCAAAGACACCTGAACAAGCTAATCAAGGTCTTCCTAGGTATACTTGAAACATCCAGGCAGGTGTGTTGAAGCAAGTTGAAACTAAACCCTGCAGGGACACCGGCACTCCAGGACCGAGATTGGCGACCCCTGTTTTAGAGGGGTTTTTTTTAAAGAATGACGATACAACATGAACGTGGTTATAAATGTATTAAAACATTATGCTTGTTTGCTGTAAAAATTCATTTGTGGATCTCCTGACTCCCGCGTGCAATTATCCTGCCGTTGTGGTTGGTGCATTCTGGGAAGATTTCTTACACCTTAGTTTCGAGTGTGGTCCAAAAAATTATTGTTCGAAGGGTTCCACCCCTTCCCCTTAGCCCTACGCCTTCAAGCTAAAGAGATTAACCCTTCATGGGAAAGCGCAAAACAAGGGCTAGGGGTAAAGTGAGGGTTAAGAGGTAGAATTGGGATTGGGCCTAAGTAAGGCATAGTTTAATTGATTTAGTTCTATAAACATTTTCTTCATTGCATCATTGTTCTCTTTCATTTTTCCATGCTTAATACTGAAGCTTTGTATTAAAGAGCTTCCTATTTCCAATTTTGTATTGGTCAAAACATGTTATGCGCTACTGACACACTATACAAGCAAAAATCAATTCTTTCATCCTAAAGCCTTTATCATTTATGGACTACCGCAACACTGCCTCAAACAGACTGGACCAAAATCAATTTGACAATGTGTGATCTGAACCTGACACAAGGCATTTGCTGTCAGTCATTTTGAGCTTTTGGTGATGTCTTTGCTAACAGTGTCTCGTAAGCTACATCATTGCTAAACGGGCTATATGCACAGCTAGTGTTTTTCAGCCAAAGATAAACTTCTGGTGAAAGCTTAATGTGACCAATTTTAATTTTAAGGTTCCTTTTACAGCATAGGTGTTGTAATGTAATTTCAATACATTCATTTAATAGACTTAAGCATTCATTTAGTTGTTCAAGTGTAAAACAAGATTCGAAAGACTCCATTGAAAATACAGGGGTTAAAAAAACTGTCATATTACAAAAACAAAGTGGGGGAAAATGTAATTTAACGCAGTGCTTCTTGTCCGGTCTGAGACACACCTTATATTGTTATCTATCAAACAGTAAAGATCACAGATTTTTAAAGAAATCAGAGCTTAAACGTGGCAATTTTATAATGGAAAGACAGTTCACAAGAAGCGATGAGGCTGGCTGGCTAAAATTAAAAGTCTGAGTGCTTATACCCTGCGTACTGCGCAAGACGCGTAAAATGCAAGAATCTTCAACCAGTGTCGTTTCCACCAGGCATTTATTTACTCTTCAACTCTTTGAAAATGCCATGCTAAAATTGAGGTAAGAGTCACATGGACAGACAATGAGCCAGAGTTGTGGCTATGGGTGACACAGGAGTATTAAGTTCCAAAAGCGAGAGGAAATATAGATTAGAAAACAAATATGGTGTAATTTTGGACTGCTTCAAATAACACTGATCTGCTGATGATGCAGTTTATTCCCACAACAAGGACAATCTCACAAAGCGATCAGGCTTAAGTACTGACACACTGCAGCACATGACTAAAAGTGTTTTCAAAAGCTTTATCTTCACTTGTATATTTGTCATATCCACAAGAATGATTATTAAACAACTTCTTCTTGCTCTGTTTTCTAGACATTCCCAATCCCTAAATGATCGTGATTCTTAGCTTTCATACAGACCAAACTGCAACGGCTTTTAAATTGGTGTTAGTGGCAAAATTATAGGACACATTTGGAAACAATGCTTAAATTCTCTCTAAATCAAACACATTACTTTTTCGATACTAATTTAAGCTAAAGAAACATTTTCATGAATTTTTGAGCACAGATCAAGCTCGTCGACACAAGCACTGCAACGGAGCAAACGCACACATGCAGACTTCCCACACACATGTAAATATTGTGATCTTTACCATCAAACACAATGAGTCACAGCAGATTATTACACCACCATCACCACACATGATCCCTTTAACCATATCATGTCGATTGAACAAACTCTCATAGGGAAAAACCTGTAGAAAAGATCCTGTGTGTTTATATGTGAAACACAGTGTTTCTTCTAGGTGTACACCTTTGTGAGGGAGATATTTTGCAGGAAATATTAATGATTTGTAGCTACATTTTGAGACAGATTATTGGGATATTTAGAGTAATAAATTAAATTCATATGCATTCTTGTCTGTAGTATTATATTATAGTAGACACTATCTGACAAAAGTTGTGTTGTTGATCCCAGTTGTAAGAGCAACAAATAATAACTTGACTTCTAGTTGATCATTTGGAAAAGTGGCAGAAGGCAGATTTTTCAGATGAATCATCTGCTGAACTGCATCCCAATCATCACAAATACTGCAGAAGACCTATTGGAACCCGCATGGACCCAAAACTCTCAAAGAAATCAGTCAAGTTTGGTGAAGGAAAAATCATGGTTTGGGGTTACATTCAGTATGGGGGCGTGGATGGCAACATCGACAGCTCATAATAAGGTAATAAGACATTTGTGCTGCCTATTACATTACAAACCACAGGAGAGGGCAAATTCTTCAGCAGGATAGCGCTCCTACTCATACTTCAGCCACCACATCAAAGTTCCTGAAAGCAAAGGAGGTCAAGGTGCTTCAGGATTGGCCGGCCCAGTCACCAGACATGAACATTATTGAGCATGTCTGAAGTAAGATGAAGATGGAGGAGGTGGCATTGAAGATGAATCCAAAGAATCTTTATGAAATCCTGCAAGAGCGCTTTCTTTGCCATTCCAGATGACTTTATCAATAAGTTTTAAAATTTGAGTCATTGCAGAGATGTATGGAAGCATTCCTCTAAGCACATGAGAGTCCTACACAATATTAATTATTTTTCCACTGCACCATGACTTTATTTTATATACTGTACATTTTTTGTCAGGTGACAAGACTTTTGTGTATGCAAAGTCAGAACTTAAAGTCCTAATTAAATAATAAAAAATTAAGACATTATCATATTTCATTTTGGTAAAATAAGCATAATTTAGAGGCCTTTGCCTTTCATATAAGCCACTTCTGATACCAAATGATCAACTAGAAGTCAAGTTATTATTTGTAGTTCCTTTGATAGACAACAAGACTTTAGTCAGGTAGTGTACTATTATGTAAATATAATTGCTTTGCATTTGTTCTCCAAATTTCTATACAAGTAAAACTGTGCTGCTCTTGTTTTGTATTCTCACAATAGATCAGATGGGCCATTAAAAGTCAGATGAATCAAGTAGCCTAAAATAAACATATTAATTAAAAAATCAGAGCACGCTTTTTGGTTTTTCCAGATTAAAAGAAAACAAATGTTTGAAAAAAATAAAACATTGTCTGATGGCTATTTGAACACATTGATAAAAATGATGCCACTCAAATTGTGTGATATGATAACATATGTGCAACTGTGGCATCTGTTAGAAGTGTGACGAATAATATAACTCACATAGCCTAGTTCAAACAGGCTTTGGCTGAATGCGCAACGTAACACAACAGAGGCCACACACTAAACCTGATGTACATCATTATGCCTAAAAGGGAGATTTTTTTTTCAGATGCACATATTTTTTGACATGCACCCTTTCACCACTAGTGGGAGTGCACTTCTGTGATTGGAGCGAATTTACATCACTTACGATATACAGGGAGAAGATAAATGTGAACACGTAACTATACACGTAACTTACACAGCCATATCACCCTGCTGCCCAAGACCAGTTACTCACTAAAGCCAAGCAGGGCTGGGCCTGGCCAGTACCTGGATGGCAGACCACATGAGAAAACTAGGTTTCTGTTGGAAGTGGTGTTAGTGAGGCCAGCAGAAGGCGCTCAACCTGAGGTCTGTTTGAGCCCTAACACCCCAGAATAGTGAAGGGGACACTATAAAACCGAGGTCCTGACAATCTGTGGTCATTAAAGTTCCATGGAACTTTTCATAAAAGAGTAGGGGTTTAACCAGATTCCCTCCATTGACACCCATCATTGCCTACTAATCATACCCATCCACTGATTTGGCTGTATCACTGTCTCTCCACTCTACCTATAGCTGGTGTGTGGTGAGTGCATTGGTGCCATTGTTCTGTGGCTGCTGTCGCATCAACCAAGTGGATGCTGCACAATGGTGGTGGTGTGGAGAAACTCCTCTTATGATTGTGAATCGCTTTGGCTGTGTGGCCATACACAATAAATGTGCTATATAGATACACACATTACATTACAACTTATGTAACTAACATAAGACTATTTTGTTTGTTTACCAAAATAAGGTATAGACCTGTTCTATGGGAAAAGAACCTTAACTGACTTCTGTTATGAAATGGCACAATATAGAAAATGCAATTAAATAATTTGACTTTCAATGGGGCCGGGGAGTGCCATTGATCCCCCTTAATATAATGGTAAGGGAAACACTGGAAACGTGTACACCGGGACTTCTCTGCTTGCCTGCGTGGGTTGCATTTACATGAAGTCTCACATGTAAAAAATGCTGCGTAATAGAAGGCAACGGTGACTGTCTCCTTTTTTTCTTTCTCTCTATATCCGTCTCTCTCTGCTTGTTGATATTTTTAGAGCCCTCTGAGATGGAGAAAACAGGCCCAACTGCAGGCAAAGCAGTGAAGACATGAGGGGGCGGAGGGGATAGAGAGAGAGCTGGAGAGAGAATGTGCTTGAGTAATAGTAGATTTCTATATCTTCCGAAGATAATTAACTACACTTTCATGGCAAGAAAAAAAATATAATAAAATCCAACAAGACTCCAAAGGCCGTTCCACACGCTCTCATTACTTTGAATGGCAGGCCCTGTGAAGACTCTATCAGCGCTGCAGAAAGAGCGGGCTATTACAGTAATATGTGACATGATGAGGTTGAACACTTCTTCAGTGTGGGTTCATTATGTGAACCGACTGCGCCGCGGGTAAAATTACCTGGTTATGGTGCTCGATGCCCATGCTGATTGTATTGATGAGGATGGCAATCATAATCCCTCTGTTGAAGTACTTGCTTTCAACGATGCCCCAAAGTTTCACTCTTATTTCGTCCCAGACGTCTTTACATTTCCCCAAACAGGTGCGTTTCTTCTTTAGCGTGTCATCAGAGTCGCTGCTCCTCTTTTTGTCTAAGCGGTTCTCGTCCCTGTCAGTTTCCTCCAGCGCACCCTCCTCTTCCTCCCCATTGGCTGAATGCCCTGTTGACTCCTCCCCCTCTTTGAGAGACAGGGCTGCAGCACACTGTGGACACTCCTCTGGGTTTGGACTGATGGAGAGGGAGACTGCATTCTCTGAGCTGTGGTCCAATTTGGTTTCGTGAATACAGTGAGATGCTGCAAGACAGACAAAAAATAATCTTTTGGTTTTGTTTTTGACATTTTTCTTATAACACAATAACGAATTTCTGCTTGTCAGTTTCTTGGACAGCTGCCTTATTACAGCATAGGATTTGAAATGACATTGGGCCATAAAAGCAAACACATGGCTGGATTTGCTCTGGTTTTTATTGCAACTTGCTCTTTGCTTTTATAACTTGCTATTTGGTTTGGAGCGTAAGCGAAGCTACTTTGAAACCTGGCCTGGGTACAAGCTATTTCTTTTAAACAAGACTAGAAAATATTCAGAATAACTGCCCTAAAAATATGTATATTTCAACTGTCCAAAACTTTAACGGCCCATAATATTTTAAGTGCCCAAAAAACATGATTTACAATTTCACTACCACATTTTGTCGAGCTAAGTTACACTAAAATTAACTTGAAAAAAACATCCTAATTTACTGTCTGTGTATATATATATATATATATATATATATATATATATATATATATATATATATATATATATATATATATATATATATAGATTGATATGTCGGTAAAAGTACTGCAAATAATACATATACTATGAAAATTTGTAATATATGAAGTGTAAAACCAACAAAATTAAAATAAAATATCATCACCCCAAATAATCTTTATTTTTTGAAGGATAAAATAAAATATTTCAGATTCAGAACATGTTTTCTTTTTCTTTAAAAAACAAAAACAAAATCAAGTGTAGTAGTGCAATAGGATTATGTTTGCTGTAATCCAACAATGCTGTGTGTGTAAGCCATTATTAAAAACAGTCATTCTTTAAATGACTTTACCAGTCATTATTTAAAACAGTCAAATCAAGGTCAACTGTTTGGTAAAGCAGGCAGAAAAAGGGCTTAAGAGGACATACAATTCTAGCTACTATTTTAAAGAGTTTTTACTTTTAACAATTTATTGTTAGTCACAACTTCTCTATGATCCACTGTCATTTCTCTGCCTCGTTACTCACTCTGAGCTGAATGGCAGTGATGTTTCTCTCCTCCATTAACATTGGCTCCTCCTCCTATCGATCCTGCTCCTCCTTTGCCACGCCCCCTCCCACCTCCAGGGGGAGGGGCTTTGCCACGGAGCATGTAATAAAGGGCAGCAGAGCGGCGGCGGGCTTTGCGTAGGATATGGCAGACCAGTTGGAAGAGCTCCTCGTAACAGTCTCCGGGCTCAGCGAGTGAAGCCAGCGTGCTGGAGGACAGGTAGCGAGCACGTTGCTCTTGCATCAGCTGGTGCTCTCGCTGTTTGGTCTCCGAAAACTGAGTGGCAATGACCACCAGGCACAGATTAATCATGAAGAAAGATCCAATCTGGAACAGGAAGGAGAGATACAGCTTGAAAATAATGAAATCCATCATTTACTTCTTCCTACACTGTTCCTTGACCTTTGAAGTAGGCATTAGATGATAACCATTTTTAAGGTATACCACGGTTTGGAAAAGTCAAAGTATTCACCAAAACGTTCTGCTATACCATTTCTAAGGTATATGCAAGATTCCAGCAGAAAAAGATACATTTGTTTTCTAAAGAAATTGGTGTTTTTGTAACTAATGATGACAGAAAAAGTACATGATTCATTTGAATCATGATTCATTTGTCTACTGTTACAAAATATCTTAAATGTTTCTTATAATAAAATATATTTTGTTCAAAGGGTGAAAAAGTTTTAGTATTCTACCTAGACATAAAAAAAACAGATTTTAGAGTATTAATCACAATACCGTGAAACAGTGATAATTATATCCAAGGTTATCATACCGTCAGAGTCTTATACACATGCCTCCTTTAAAGGTGTAGTGCATTCACTGTTGATCTGCATACTTTCACAGTTAAAATAAGGCGGTTTCAATAGATTATTGTGAAATGTGCTTATGGATGAAAGTGTTACGGATGTAAATGTAACAATTAGCCGGTCTGAGATTAAAAGTGACTTTGTGTAATTCATTAAAAGCAGAAAGCAGATCTGTTTTGCTAATGAAAACCCACCAAAAATTCACTTTTTCTTTAAAATCTTAAGTTTTGTTGTTGTTTTTTACTGTTTACGGTTTATTATTTTAAATAAGGCTGATACTGAAATGTAACACTCACCATATCAGTCATGTAATTTGATGAAATGAATAACAATAATAATAATAATAATAATAATAATAATATATATATATATATATATATATATATATATATATATTATTTTTTTTTTATTTTTTTTATTATTATTATTATTATTATTATTATAAATCTGTTTGTCTTGTGAACAAATAATTCTGACTAATTCAGACAACAGTATTCAATAAGAGTGAATATCAAATTTACAACAACATTACAAGAAAGTTTCTTTATGGGTGAATAACTCATTTCAGCTCAATATTTTTGACCATAACCACATTTTTTTGTCTCCATTGCTTTAAATATCTAGACGATGACAGAAAACCTCCAGAAAGCTCTCTAGCACAGCTTGTGCTGCAGTGTTCGGCATACGCAGCAGCCATAGCTGTCTCCATGAGCTGCTATAAATGGACCCTATGTTTGAAGAAGTCAGCAGACGCCCAAACAAGAGCCTGTTTTGTTGTGTGTGTCCCCGCACTGCTCTAGCTTTGATATGCTGTAATTACCAGGCCCTTTCATAGGAGCAAAACCTCCAAATATCTCCTAGTCCTCGCAGAGAAGGGCTAGATCCCTCTGCCAACATGAAACGGATTAAAACTGGGAGCCAATCATTTTGAAGACTGAGGGCAAGCCGGTTCCAGATTCATCAGAACAATGAGCTGATCTGCTCTTCTATCATTCAATATTCCTATCAGCACCATTCGTCAACACATTTGTACTCATGAACACACAGATCTCGCTCTTAGGCCTTAATGAAAGTACAGGCTGGTTCATGCAAATGTGAAGCAGGGATCAGAGAGGACATTTGAGTCGTGAGGACAGAGGACAGAGAAGGTGGAGGAATGCGCATGAGTGTGTGTATGTGTGTAGGGCAGCTGTGCAGGTGTGTCCTGCCTCCACATCTGCTGTCCTGATTTGGGATTCTGATGTGTGACTGGACCGCTCCTAATCAACAGCCAGACCTCTGCTTTATGCAATATGCACCATCTTTCCTTGCAGTCACCTTTCCTCTTTTCATTTCCATTGTACTGTTTAATTCACACACACACACGAATAAATTAAACATGCCTTCAGCTCCTTTCTTCGATTTACAGTTGAAGACAAAATGATTAGCCCTCGTGTAAATTGATAATATATTTATATATTTCCAAAGTATTTTTTAACAAAGCAAGGACATTCTGTTCACAGTATTTGCTTTTAAATTTAACTTTTTTATAAACTCTTACTTTTCTTGCTTTGGAAAAAAAATACTTTCAAAATTACTAGCCCCCTTTTAATTTTTGGCTATAAAAAAAAAAAAACAACAACAACAACAACCATTGTCCATTGACTTGCCTAATTAACCAACGCGATTTCACAGCAATTCTTAAGTTTTTGGTTTAGTGGCTAATTCATATAAATCCGTCAGCCAATTAGAATTGAATGGCCATTATCAGTGGTTAAATCAGCTTATAAATATGGGCCAGTAGGGGCCTTCTCAACCTGTTATAGGCTCAGATGGCTGATATCATCCATCCACATGGTTAACGAGCTATTGATCAAATACGGCTATGACCGGAAGTTAACAAGAATTATTTTAATTATTTGTTAAATTTCCCATTACTTTTTTATTTTTATTTATGTCAAACACAACCGTTACAGTAATGTAAAAACAAATCTAGTTCTGGAGTCTTCTCTATTAGTATAGCTGATTAACCATGTGGATGGATGATAACAGACTTTTGAGCCTACCAGTAGGCGCAGAAGGCCCTTCTGGCCCATACTGTATCTATCAGCTGATTTAACCACTGATAATGCCCATTTAATCGAATGAAAACATTCGAATCGAGTGAATTGGTGTAATTTCATTCATACAATTTAGTATGATTTGCTTATCCCCCAATGATGGTTGGGTTAAGGGACAGGGTTGGGTGATTTAAAATAGTACATTTTTCATGACGGAACTTCATTGACTGAATTCATACGAATTAAGCTGCGGTCATACTGCATTGTTCTCCCCATAGAAACACAAACTCGTGCGACAAGTTTCAGTTCACTGCGTTGGAAAGTTTAAACTTAAATGAACTCTGACCTGTGAAATCACATCATATGATTGCGTGAGACCAACCGAAGATCAAAACCTGACCTCTCTGGACAGAAATTTAAAACATGGACCAATCGCTCGCTTTTTTAATGTGTAATCATCTTGTCTCTAGTGTGACCACGGCTTTATCCACTAAACTGACAAAATGTAAAATAGTTACATTTCCTCACAAGATCAGGCTGAATCAACCTAACTTGAAAAAAAAAAATCTCTGTCCATTTAAAAATGCAAAAACGCACTGTGATGCATGTTAAAGGCATCCCAAAACAAAAGGTGGCTTTTATGCTTGGTTCAAGGCACGGCAAGTCTATTTATATGGCACATTTCATACACAATGGTAATTCAAAGTGCTTTACATGAACAGGAATAAAAGTCAAGTATAAGAAAATCGAAACAAAAAAAGAAAAATTATATATTAAAAACTGATTAAAATGTGTTAAAATAGGTTTTAAAGTAATGAAAAAGAAAAGAAAGATATAAGAATGCGATCCGTGAGAAGTAGCACAGTGCTCATTCAGTGCACATCTGATCCCACGAAATGCATGGTTTCTGCTACATTCATTCTTCCTTGGCACTCAGGACATTAGGACATTTGCCATTGAAATAAAGCCATAGATAGCTGGAAAATCAGTGTAATAGGTCTGCCACCACAGCTAGTAAAAAAATCCTAGAGGAAACACTGCAGATGTATCTGTTAAGTATGAGGTTAATAAGTTACATGAAGTAAATTTCATACGATTAAATGCAAAGAAAGAAAGAAAGAAAGAAAGAAAGAAAGAAAGAAAGAAAGAAAGAAAGAAAGAAAGAAAGAAAGAAAGAAAGAAAGAAAGAAAGAAAGAAAGAAAGAAAGAAAGAAAGAAAGAAAGAAAGAATAAAGCTGTATTAGTGTCAGACATACAGAAATAGTGAGGCAGGTGTAGAAAGAGAGAGGTCATAGAGGTGCTGGTTAGTGAGTATACTGTACTTCACTTCTGTTACAGCTGGATAAAAGATGACAGGCGATGATTTATACTCTCTTTTAATGTTGTTCTTACAAGGGAAGGGTCTGGCTGTAAGCAGGGTGACCTTAACACTCCCTGCTCCCCCAAAAAAGAACAGTAAAGCAGACTGGCAGAGCTGGCCATTTCATTTCTGTGCCATCAATTTGCAAATGCGTGGGGAGTTTTGCCAAGGTTTACACAATATAATTAATATAAAATATTATTTTAATAAAATATAATATTATAAAATAGTATAATATATTATTAGAAAATGTTATTTTAATATAAATATTTTAAAAAATTATATAAAATATTATTTATTAAAAATATCAAATAAAAAATAATCTATAAAATAAAATAAAAGCAGTTTCCATTTTTCATTTTATCATCAGCTCCTATTTATAAATAATAATCAACATCCACAAAGCAGCAAGCCAAAAAAAATAAGCCATGATTTGTTAACATTCTGTGGCCAATCAGAGACAATGCATGCATTTAATGTAATTATTTGTGATCTCTCTGCACATTTGTACCGATCTGTCAGAGAACCACTAAAGAGGGGGGAAAAAAATGGGTACAGAGATGGCGAGGCTGAATTAATTGCTCCGATGTTCAATAGAAGTGAAAGGAAGTGAATAGAGGTGCAGCGGCAGGGTGTGTGCTGTGTCGGCACACTAAGGCCCTCTCTCAGCAGGTAGCGGCGGCTGGCTGTGTGGTTGCCAGGTTACAGACCGAGCAGGGCGTCAGAGAAGTAAATAAAAGTGCAGAGGGACACATTCAAATGGACATACACACACACACACACACACACACACACACACACACACACACACACACACACACACACACAGTGAAAAGACATATCTTACTCCCCGCAGTGCAACTGTGCAGATCGCATGAGGATATGATTGTGATTCCAGATGTGAAGGAGGGGTGGATACAGAGCACATATAACTAAAGCTAAATTGGATCACTTGTTTATTTTAGGGATGGACAAGAGAACAGAATATGATTTTCCTACCAATGTAATTGATTTTCTTTCAAAAGATTTCTGACACAAACTGCACACTTATACAAGCACAGACACAATTCAGAGCACAGAAAACCGAATTATATTTTGATGGAATTCATTTCATCAGAC